AATGTATTTTTATTGTAATAATATATATATATATATATATATATATATATATATATATATAAACTCGTGATTTTATAATTAAACATTTTAAATGAGAAATTTGATAGAAATATGTTATATATTTTCTTCTTACTGCTATTTGACGTGAAAGTAGTTAAAGTAGTATAAATAAAAAAAATATATATAAATATTATCTTAATACTTTAATTTTTAATTTTTAATTTTTTTTACATAGGATATTTTGGATCTTGTAATTGAACAATGAGATACGTTACTATCTATTCTAGCAAAGTTGACTTGGTTGGGATTCAATTTCAGAGAAAAAATATTTATTTATTTAAAAGTTTTTAGATAAAAATAAAAAAATTGTTAAAAGGATAAATATTATAAAAATATTTTTTAAAATTTTGTATTAACTTTATAGCCACGTAACTTTACTTAATAATATAAAAATTAGTTGCTGGTGTAGTTATCTATATTAACTTTATACTGTTATTGAAATAGGAAGATTTCAAGACAAAAAAAATGAAAAGTAGTAGTTATAATATAAGTGAAGTTTACGTGCATTTTTTTAATGCATGGCAATAGAGATGATAAAGTGTGTTAACTTATTGTTATTTAACATAATTATCATAATAAATACTTAAATTAGTGTTTACAATTTTGTATTATACTCAATTTAATCTTTGGAAAAATGAAAGGCATTAAATTGTCTCTGAAATTTTTTATTTGAGACATGTTAGGTGCTCTATTAAAAGATTCATGTTTAACTTAATAAAATTATTTTTATATTACTATTAATTACTTGAGATAACATATGTGCTTTTTATGGTATAAAATTATAAAAGCTTTTTTAAAATTAAATTGGTACCTAAAAAAATTACTAGAGTCAATTTACATATTTTTAAAATACTAGAGCAAATATTTAGAGATAAATCAATATAACCAAAATAAAAGTTTCTTAAAAACTATTTTATTAGATAAAAAATAATAATATTATCTCAATTATCTAATTGGCTACATAAATATCTTTTGAATGCTATAATTTTTTTTTTTCTCAAATGGTTTAAATCTGGATCCGACCTAGGTTATGCACTTAAATGTAATGAGTGAGTTTACTATTAGAAATTTTTTACATATACAAAAACTTGAATCTAAGATTTTACTTAAGCGATACCGAGTTGCTTGCCATTCACACTAACCTTTATTAGTAGTCACATAAATATTTTTGTTGAGTTAAATAAAAGTATTTTAATAAAGAAACTAACATGTTTCAGAAAAATAGTTTTAAGGACTATTTAACATTTTTTGTATTTTTTTTAAGAATTAAATTGGGTCTGTCAAAATTTTGCTGGAAACACTTTAATTATTCATTATAGGTATTAAAAATGGATTAGTTGGATTCGAAATCCGTTAAGTCAATAGTTCAAATAAATTAAAAATTTGTTGGAGCAAAAAATTAATTAAAAATTTGTCAAAAGTTGAATACAAACCAGTCCCAAAAATTGGGTTGAATAAGTCTCTTATAAACAAAAGTATTTTCAAATAATTTTTAAATAAAAAAGACTCATACATAAAATTTATATATAAATTACTATTATTTAACTATTTATTATAATTTTTTCTATTGTAAAGTATATAATATGATGCTTTTGCGTTAATTTAAATTCTCAATTAACTTAATTTTTATATGATTTCATATAATGAACTATTATATATTATATAATAATAAAAATTATTATAGTTTGAATTTAGTTAACTGCAAGTAACGACACTGTATTTTTATCAATTTAATAGCCGATTCAATTTTTTTTTTTAAATGTTGTTATAAACAGCCTATTTGTATGAGTCAATAAAAATAATAATAATAAATATTAATTGACTTATTTTTCAAATATTGACAAGGTTAATTTTAGAAGAAATTTTATCCAATTATCATATTAACTTAAAGTATAATTATAAAAATTATATATCATTAATTTGAAAGTTTATTTAAAGTAAAAAAATTAATAAAAAATAAATTTAAAAATATACTTTTAAAAAATATTTTAAATTTATTTGTAAGAACCAATCAACTTCATAATCTCAATAAAACAACAATTAATTTTTTTTCTTGAAGTTGTTGTTTAATGGCTAATAAAAGACTTCATCAAAATATCATCTTTAATTAGAAGAAATTTCATCGAAATAGTAAGTGTCAGATATTTTTTTTAAATATTAAAAATACTATATTATTTTATCAGATATTTTAATTTTTAAATATAAATATTATTAATAAACAATAACAAAATGTTGATATATCATTTTAAGTAACATGTGTAAAAAATAACTTAACATATACAAAATTATTTCATATATTTAAATGAATAAATATAGTCGAACAATATGGAAATTATAAAAAAAAATTTCTCTCACCGAACTTGACTTTTTTTTTCCCCCAAATCACAATTATTCACCATTAAGAGTTTGAAATATGATGAATTTATCAAACAATTTTTTTATTTTTTTTTATGATGCTTCATGTTGCTTTTGGATGTCTAGCGCCTAGGTATCGAAGGGTGGACATAAATGCCATAAAGAACTGGGCGAGGCAGATTCTTTCTACTCCGTGCTTTCTGCATAATCAAAGTCTCCTATTATTCATGTAGACATGAAATGTGATAATATTTTTGTTAATAGGAAAAATAGACAAATTAAAATTGTAATCTTAGATTGGCAATTGTCATGCAGCAGTTAACAATTATGATTTCCGAATTAAGTATTAGTATTTAAGTAAAAAATAGGATTTTTTAATTAAAAAAGAAAAATTATAATAATTACTGTATGACGGTATTAGTCATTTAGAGTTTTAAGATGTTAGACATGTCAAGTCACTTTTCACACATGTCATTTCAATATTTTGTTATTATTTATTAATATAATTTTAAGGACAAAAATAAGAGAATAATTGTTAAAAAAGTCTTATAATTTTATCTGAATGAGCACTCAATTTAATACTATAATAAATATAATAGGATATAACACATAATAATATAAGAAAAGAAAGGATAATATTATTGTAAGTTGAGTTTTTTTTCAAAAAAAAAAAATCAAATATTTTAAATTTTTATTTCATCCTAATTATTCTATACAGTCATATAATTTTTATAATAGACCTTCAAAATTTTATAGTTTTGGTGAAAATGAATCTTCAAATGACGCTATATAAAAAGAAGAGATTAGAAGAAAAGTATATAAAATATATTTAAGACATGTTAAGATTTTTTTAGACTTCTTTTATAGTAAAAGTAAGATGTAAAATGAATTTAATGACAATTTTGCTTCAGAGTAAGAGTGAGCAGAAATATTATACTTGCATATAACTAATAAAACCAAACCACAGAAAAAGTAATAAAAGCAAGTTATATCTATCGGTAAATTTTATCAGGTTATTCGGTGAAATTTAATCAGTAGTCAAGTTTAATAAGAGAAAAATATTCGCATATAAACTTATGTATATAATTTAGAGCTACCTTTATTCCCTTAAAAATAAAAAAAAGGGTAACTTTATAATTTAGTTTAAGGTAATTAAAATTAATGTTAAAAAATATTTGAGTCATAAAAAATAATATTCTCTTTTTTATTTTGATCTAAGCAAATCCCAGTAAACTCAAACAATGATAATAACAAGAAGTTCAAAAATTCATAAGTTTTTCTAGTACAAATACGTGGACTATGCTTATTAGCTTTCACCACTGCATGCATTCAATTGATTCACAATTTTGACTATATTCTAGTTTAGTTCTAATGTTTCTTTTATCGCAATCAACTCTTTCAAATCAAACCAACCTTTTTAGAATTTTAATTTTTATGGTCTCACTTAACTACAATTACAGGCTCATGACATCGCTAATGGAGTTTGCCAACATGAATATGGTTTCAGTATTTAATGGTGGGACTAGCAAAAAAAAAAAAAGAAAAACTAATTTTTGAGACACATTTTTATTATAATTTGTATCAACTCACGAGCTTAACCTGAAATCCAATCAATCCAATTATTCATTCAGTCGAAATTAATATATATTATATGATTAGGTTAAAACAGTTCTTTATTTTTTAGTCTAAACCCCTCTCAAATCGTCCGATACCCGGTACTTTAATAATCATAGTATAATATTAAAAACTTTTAATTATGTCTTTTGCACTTTTAAAATTCAAGTCGTGGTAACAATAATTTCTATATAATGGTAATTTTAACTTTATTTCATATGCATAAAACTAAAGACAAATAAATATATAAATGAATTAAAAATGAATAAAAATTCAGTACTAATTAAACTTGAAGAATAATTTTGTTTAATAGCCACTTTGTGTATATTTATGAAAAGTCACCTGAATTAATTGATATTATTTCATAAAGTGATGCTAATTTAAGTAATGTTTCCACAATACATAGTCATACCTTTCTGCTTAATGTTTTATATGAAGAATTACTTTTATTCTAATTTTACATTATTTCTTTATAAACATATCGTTTTAATTATATATATTTTATATAAATAGTCACGTTATTTTTCGTAATTTTTATTTATATAAAAATATATCTTTTAATAACTGCTGTTTACATGTGATTGGGTATACATAAGCAATATAAACCCAATATTTTGTTTATTAATAGGATTGAAAAATACTTCTTTTACCCTTTTTTTAATAAGAATTTGTTAAATATTTTTTCTTTAATAAAAACATTTTACAAAATATTTTGAGTATTTTTTTAATTTTTTTACATATTTATCTTTTATTTTATAAATTTTTAAATAATTAATATAATAATAGATTTTAATTTTAATTATAAATACATTTGAAATATTATAATTAATTTTTTTAAAATATTAAAGTAATTAATTTGAGTACTTTTTTTTTAATTTGTGAAATTTAATCAATTTTTTATAAAAAATTAAAAATTTTCATCTATTTTTTTAATGTATGTCTAATAATACATTTTAAAAAATCTTAAAATACAATTTTTATAAAATGTTAAAATATTTTAGCACGCATATCATCTTGTGACGACCCAACACGTGTGAAGTCCACAACCTACCCAAAACATACTCCGGTACATAGCACCGCAGCAAATCCCTCCCCCCCACACAACCAGTACCACAAACTAACCAAACAATCAAATCATCAGAAAACACAAACAATTTTTATTTTTATTTTTTTAAAAAACACAACACGTCAATATCAACGGTTGAGATCTTGTGCCCTTCTGAATCGAACGGCCACCATTTCCTGTCGGATCACCTTGTCTCTTCCTCATTCTCTCTTCCTTCTTCTGCTACCATTGGCACTCAGAAACCAGAAAAAATTATCTACGAACCTCACCCACATATATTCACACTCGCACATGAACGCAAACGCGAAGAAGATATTCGAACTTTTGATTTTCACGTTTTGGGTCTCTCTCTAATTTTCCAATGTCAGCGTTGGAGTATTTATCTCCCTTAACATACACCAAAATCTATCTCAATTCTGACTCCACCAAATCCAATTTCCACCGCTGGCGAAAACCCTCCACGCCGTTTCGCCAAAACGCGTGTCGTTTTGTCCCCAATTCGGTGCCCGTTAGGGTTCCGAGCTTATGGAGGGACTCGGGAAGGTTCGATTTGTGGGGAGGGTTGAGATTGAAGAGGATTCACGGTGGCGCCACCAGGGCTAGTGGCGGGCAAGAAAGCGATTCCGGCGAGAAGAGCGGGGAGGGTCAAGGAGTGGATAAGGGTTCGAGCGGGTCGGGTTCGAACCGGAGGAGGGAGAAACAAGGGAAGGGTTGGTGGTGGTGGTGGTTAGGTTCGAAGGGTAGGAAGTGGCGGTGGCAACCCATTGTGCAGGCTCAGGAGGTTGGGGTTTTGCTTTTGCAGTTGGGGATTGTGGTTTTTGTTATGCGGTTGCTTAGGCCTGGGATTCCCTTACCTGGCTCCGAGCCAAGGGCTTCAACCTCTTTTGTTAGTGTTCCTTATAGTGAGTTTTTGAGTAAGATAAATAGTGATCAGGTGCAGAAGGTGGAGGTTGATGGGGTCCACATCATGTTCAAGTTGAAGTCTGACGTGGATGCTGGTGAAGTTGCTCCTTCTCCTTCTCCTCCTCCTTCTTCTTCTTCTTCTTCTAAGTTGCAGCAGGAATCAGAGTCTTTGGTTAAGAGTGTTGCTCCTACCAAGAGGATTGTGTACACTACTACGAGGCCTAGTGATATAAGAACACCTTATGAGAAGATGATGGAAAATGAGGTGGAGTTTGGGTCACCGGATAAGAGGTCTGGTGGATTCCTCAACTCTGCTTTGGTAAGCGTGTTGCATTTTGTGTCTGCATTTTATTTTTTTTATTTTCATTTTTTGTTAAAACTTTTATGTCAATTCGGTTTGGTAAACTACAATAATTAGTCATGCTCATTTTTAGAGCATGAATTCTCTCTTGTGATTTATGTTTTGTTTATGATATGTTAATTGTAGATTAATTTTATATCCTGTGTTGTAAATACGTTGTGACTTATGATTTTTAAATTTGTTGTATCCCTTTTCCATGTTGTATCTGTGCTTTCTACCTCAACAGAGTTTGCTTAAGATTATGATGAGGGTGATCTTGGGAGGGGGCTGGTGGTTTGAAGTTTAATATATAATATATTCATTTGTTTAGAGCAAACCTTCTGAGACCCAAAGCAGGACTAAAAGTTGCAGTTCTTTGTCCGATTCCAATCTTTTATCGAATCACTGAAAACTGTGTGAATGCTCAATGGTTTTCTCCTTAAATTTTCACTACTTCTAGAAGGGCCATTGGAAACTTGGACGTACTACTCTAGTCTTCACCAAACCTTCTGTCATTTAAGAAGTATAATGTTTGGAAACACATGACCACCTCGCCCTGCTGTTTGAAATGCTGTTTCATTAATTTTTTTCTTGTGCCATGTTTTTGGCCTGCCAACTTGTTACGTAGTATTCATGGTAAACTCTTTTTATTCTTCGCTTTATTAGAAAGGTAACTGGAATTTACTGTTATGCATAACCAGTGACTGGTTTAGTTTATAAAAATTATCAAGCTCAACAAATTATAATTTATATGGTTTATCTATGGTCATAAACTATAAATTTTGTACTTTGAGAATTTGAAATAATAATTTTCGGAAAGAACTGATTTCTTTTGGTGATTAGTAGAAGAAAATGTTTATATTAGCTTCATGAGGTAAATCTGCCTGCGGTAACAAAATACCTTTCACATTTGTTAAATATGCGATGTTGTAGTATATGATTGGATTACAGTCTCTTTTATTAGTACCCTAATTTTTGGTATTTGTTATGATGTCTCAATGGTTTATGATATTCAACTTTCTATTCCATTCATTACATATTTCCTTGGTTATCAGGGTTGAAACTATATGTCATGTGACATGCTACTGATTTCATTCTCATATTTGTAGATAGCGTTGTTTTATTGTGCTGTGCTCGCAGGGCTTCTCCATCGTTTCCCTGTTAGCTTTTCTCAGGTGAGTTTGATTTCCTTCCATCTCTTAGTTTCTATTTTCTTTGGCCTTCTTATCCAACTTATGCTTTCTACACCTTTAAAACAGTGTTTTATGAGTAATCAAATGATATGTACAGCATACAGCCGGTCAGATTAGGAATCGCAAATCAGGAACGTCTGCTGGTACAAAGTCATCTGAACAAGGTGAAACGATCACTTTTGCTGATGTTGCTGGTGTTGATGAGGCTAAAGAGGAGCTAGAAGAGATTGTGGTAGGCTGAACTTTCTTCAGCTCATATTCAGCACTTACAACCTTTAGGCTGTATAGACTTTCTGTTTTATGATTTACCTTTTATGTTATTATTTTGGAGATATAGGGAAGTAATTTAGTATGCTGATGTTCTTTTGCCAGGAATTTCTTCGAAATCCAGACAGATATATACGACTTGGAGCTCGTCCTCCCCGAGGCGTTCTCTTGGTGAGTGATAGCCAGAGATATTTTATAAGTAATACCGAATGACTTCATGATCCCAGGAGGAGAGCATGAGGGTCAACCAGCAAACACTTTATGGTTATGGATATTTGCTTGGGGAAGGGCTTAAATATGAGAAATGTCTTTTGATAATATTTTCAGCTAAAGTCCAGCAAAGCTTTCTATATTATTATATGAACTTTTCTTTCTCATATTTACATAATTATTACCTTGCAAAAAATTGGATCACTAATTTGTTTGATTGAACTGGTGCTTGTTGGAATAAACCCTTGAATAGTTTCTACTTACAAGTTACACCTTTCCTGCTTTTTTGTGCTTGTATTTCGTATGTTATTATTTATAGCTGAGTTATTTTTTTCGTATTCTTATTGTTAGAGTTTGACATATAGGTAGTAAATATCCATTGTTTTTATCTTACAGGTGGGTCTTCCTGGGACAGGTAAGACTTTACTAGCAAAGGCTGTGGCAGGGGAAGCTGATGTGCCATTTATAAGTTGTTCTGCTAGTGAGTTTGTAGAATTGTATGTTGGTATGGGTGCTTCCCGTGTAAGAGATCTCTTTGCAAGGGCAAAGAAAGAAGCGCCATCAATAATATTTATTGATGAGGTAAGAATGTGTTCTTTTGTTCTGTAAGATTTTTATTCAATTTTTACTGTGTAATCAATCAAACTTTCTTTTGGTATGCAGATAGATGCTGTGGCTAAAAGTCGTGATGGTAAATTTCGCATTGTCAGCAATGATGAACGAGAACAAACCTTGAACCAGCTGCTCACTGTTAGCATTCTTTTGCATTCATTTTTTTTCGTGATTGTTTAAAAGGAGCGGAGAAGAGAGAGAATTATGTCACAATGAGGCTAATGTGTTAAAACTGATTTATAGGAGATGGATGGGTTTGACAGCAGTTCTGCAGTAATTGTTCTTGGAGCAACTAATCGTGCAGACGTCTTAGACCCTGCACTCCGCCGACCAGGAAGATTTGATCGAGTTGTTGTGGTCTGGATTCCAGTTTAGATGCATTACCGCCTTTTGCTTTGTACTGATTTTAAAAGACAACAAATTTGCATATCTTTAGCAAAAATTGCTTGTTTTATCCTCAGGTGGAAACACCCGACAGGATTGGAAGAGAAGCTATCCTAAAAGTTCATGTTTCCAAGAAAGAACTTCCTTTAGCTAAAGACATTAACCTTGGTGACATTGCTTGTATGACCACTGGTTTCACAGGGTAATTATTCTATTTCCTTCTTACACTACTCTTTTTGATACTTCAAAAATTGATCGGACTGAAATTTTAATCCGACACATGGTATGGTTCATTGGTACACCATTGAAGGGCGGATCTTGCAAACCTAGTAAATGAGGCTGCTTTATTGGCTGGAAGACAAAACAAAGTTGTCGTGGAGAAAATTGATTTCATCCAAGCGGTGGAAAGATCAATAGCTGTAAGTTTCAATGTCTCTTGGGCTCTTGGATAACTATTGTGGATAAATATGAACCAAGTTTCTTGTTTCAGGGCATAGAAAAGAAGACTGCCAAGTTGAAAGGAAGTGAGAAGGCTGTAGTTGCACGGCATGAAGCTGGTCATGCTGTAGTGGGTACTGCAGTCGCAAATCTTCTTCCTGGACAGCCACGCGTTGAGGTAAACATGGAAGATGCTCTTTTCTTGGCTATATAAATATTGCATTGTCATTACACGATTTCAGATATGTTGATGATGCTTGTAATTGATTTTTTGGAATTATCACAATTTTGAAACTGTGCTTATATTCTCAAAGTTACTCTGATGATTGATGATTTCTACATCATATAGACTCTGATTATAAGATTGTAATTTTAATCATAATGTTTAGGTTATTTGATTTTTGGTTATCTGGACAAGTAAACTATTGAAAACATGTTAAAAGATTTTTTGTTTTTCAAAAAATAACTAATAATTATAATTACTACCAACAAGTATTTAATTAGATAAGAGTGGCAATGGACAACTATTTTAACTTGTAATATAATAAGGAATACTTAAGAGTAACCTGGTATATTGGTCCTTCAAATATTATGCGTCATGATATTAGTCTTCCTTAGATTTGGGTCACCAACATAATCTCTCAAACATCTAAATGTCACTACATTTGTCTTTTATGAAGGATAAAAGTGGTGACATAATTTTATTATTATTATTTTGCTATTTTGAGTGATTAATTTGATTAGAAAAATCTTTGAAAGAGTGATATGGTGACACACTAATCTTTGGAGGATAAATTTCAGGGTTTCCTCTTTATTTAGTGAAGGTTATTTTAGGAAAGTTAAATAAAACTTAGTTGAAAAGGAGTGGCAATAAATAGATGGAAATGGAAATAGACAATACTTGCAAAATTTTGTTTGGAAATTGTAGCCTGCATGTGTATTGGAAATCATTGTTATGTTTCTCATTTGTTTATAATGGTAATCTATAAGGATATTCATGCTTAATCTTGTGTATGTTATTAGAAATTAAGCATATTGCCGAGGTCAGGAGGGGCTTTGGGCTTTACTTACACTCCTCCAACAAATGAGGACAGATACTTGCTTTTCATTGATGAGTTGCGTGGACGCTTGGTTACCCTTCTTGGAGGACGTGCAGCAGAAGAAGTTGTTTATTCTGGTCGAGTATCAACAGGTGCACTTGATGACATACGGCGAGCAACTGACATGGCATACAAAGCTATCGCTGAATATGGTCTTAATCAGACAATAGGCCCTGTGTCAATTGCCACTCTTTCTAATGGTGGAATTGATGAGTCTGGGGGATCAGTTCCTTGGGGAAGGGATCAGGTCCTGTATTTCATTTACTTTTTTCTTCTTCTCGTTCTAACTGTACTATATGCTGATTTTAATCTAAATACAACAGGGACACCTTGTTGATCTTGTTCAGAGAGAGGTGAAAGCATTGCTGCAGTCTGCACTGGATGTATCACTTTCCATTGTGCGGGCTAATCCTACTGTTCTGGAGGGTCTTGGTGCTCATTTGGAAGGTAAATGCATGCTGTATTTTATATTTGGTGATTGGTGGAGTGGTTTGTGTTGATTTCCTAAATATTAATGATGAATACTCAATATTTTTTTTTACTTGTATATATATATATATAAGAAATGACTGTGAAAACACTTTTTTTTTTAATGTTGGGAGAGAACACTTGTTTAAGAGAATTAGAACAATAAAAATAAATTGTTAGGTTTTATTTAAATAGTTAGGATTAAAAGAAAAATGCACATTACTTTTTTAAGTCGTCATGTGACCACTACCAAACTTTTAATCTTGACTCCATGTTTAGTTGTATGATCCAGATTTAATGTTCTCATAATCTTATAATGAGAATTGTTCTCACTATATACATTCCCTATTTTTATTTAGGCTTAGGGTTAAGGCTTAACTGTAAAATAGGTCTTGTGCGTAGCATATTAAGACTTCTATGTCGTTTCATGCTCTCAATTGAAATTTCATGGATGATTAGATTGCAGATTTGGGCATTGAACTTTACTCCACCCTAAAGGCTATACTTATATTTAACAGAATGATCATGTGAAGGGAGTAGGGAAATTCTGATTTCAACATCTTGTTCTTTTGTCAACTGTGTCTAGACACTGATTATGTTGAACCGGTGTTTTTGCTTAGCCATGGTGTTCTAATATTGCTTATTCTTCAGAAAAAGAAAAAGTAGAGGGTGAAGAGCTACAGAAGTGGTTAAGATTGGTGGTTGCACCAACAGAGCTTGCAATCTTTATAGAAGGCAAGCAAGCGTCTCTCCTCCCATTGCAGACAGGTTCCTGAACAGTTGAGAGTTGTGTATTATGCTACCAATGTCAAGTGGATTCGAGGTATGATTTTTGATGTCGTTTGACTAAAGCCAGTGAAGTTATATCTCAAAACAGCATGAACTCACCCTTACAACACTGTAAATTCCTGTAAGGTGAATTTTGGCATCATTTTTAACACAGCCAGCCTGTTATTTGTGTTAACTCATATTCACTCATCCAAAGCCATAGGGAAAAAAGAAAGATGAAGAAATGCATACTAGTTCCTCTCACCAACTACATATATACTGGTAATTGCATTTGTTGTATATTGAGTTATTGACTATTATTTCAGTCATGATGTGACTGTTTGCAAATGTAATTGATATATAGTTGTATACATTATGATTCTGTGGAATATATAGAGCTCTGCTATATGTTACACCAAAATATTTATCCATATTGTAAGTAAAATGGATAGTAATGAAGAATGAAGACCGATTTCAAATCCTCCCCATCAAAGCAGGGCCATCCAACAACTGCAATTGTATTGGGGCAACATCTCTCAGATATGCTGTCAACTGAGTAAAAATTTTGGGATGGGTAATAATACCACGTGGGATCTACCATATTGTAAGAGAGATAACTTTAAGAAGAATTTCTTCCCCCCTACCCCATCTTGGGTAGAAAGACAAAGGGGAGGAATTGACCCTATAATTTGTTGACTTTGCATCATTTTTTTTTGTTTTCTTTCAGAACTTCATTAAGGTAAGCAGTGACAAGGATAGACTCTTTCTAGTACTTTGTCTTAGGGTGAATCATTGAGATTAATTTGTATTCATATATAGTAGGATGTTGTGATATTTTTTAAGGGAGAACGAAAAATATCTGGTGTTCCACGAATGCAACTTTTTTGTACTTTACTGGAAAAGGAGGAATATAAAACTAACCTGCAATGGGCTTGTGATGGGCTTGTGGTGGACCATTATCCCATGTGGCTCAATTTTTTTGGAAAGTTCCGATGTCATGTTCATATCATTTAAATCATTATCTCATAATATCCATAATCATAGTACTGCTCAGAAGAGCTTAGACAATCAAAACTGCAAGTGGAGAGAAATATTGGTGTACAGCTGCCTGGCCCTGGTGGCATTATGAAAATTATTGAAAACCTTTTCTTTGTTTTTTCTTCTTGTTAATATGGAAATCAAAGGAAATAATATTACCTTACAAATATCTCGGCGCTCAGAAACATTGGCCAGTTACTGCTACGGTACGTCTTTTTAATTAAATATTGGTTTTTTTTAACCTGTTGTACACTATTTATAGGTTACAAACGTACAAATATTGAAAAGGTTAAAAGATCGTTGGAAAATAATAAACATTGAAAATGCAAGTGTTTGAGTTCTTAGAGAAAACTTGGTTTAGCCATAAACAACTACATCCCATGCCCTGATCTTTGGTAATCCAATTTTAAATCTTAATGCCCGTTTGGAACACTACGATTATAATAATTTAAAAGAATTTATTAGAGTTGTAATCTTGTAAGTACTTTTCTTGGGAAGAAAATGATAGGATTTACAAATTTTCTAACATCACAACAGGGAATAATTTATAAATAAATTGAATACTAGAATTGTTTTTAAAAGTAAAGTGAGAGCTTGGATGAAAATTGAAACCACATACCAAATTGTAACATGATTTTATGAATTTAGCTATTCTAAAGTAAGATTAATTAATATAAGAGAAAAAAATTATATTGATTCCATGTGAGGAGGCATTGTGAATGCTGGCAACCCTAAGACCTCTCTCTACTCAGTTTTTCTATCCACAGGTACCAATCTGCTTCGTTTGCTTTGACTCCTGAGATTTCTCTCTCTCTTATCTTGAGAGTGAAAGTGAAGCACCCGGAAGGGGAAAACGGAGGCCCAAGGCCCAACAGCAATACAACAAGGCTAGAGAGATACAAAAGCCTAGAAAAGCCTGCTTGCTAAAGTCAAGTCCGAATCTAAATTAATAAAAAAAGGAAAGCTAAAGTACACACTCTCTTCAATTATATTTTTTATTAGGTAACTTTCTCTTTATTTTTAATTTTAAAAAATTAAATTAGGAAAAATTTAAGCATATATAAGTGTACTACACAATACAAAGAAAGGGAATATATGCTCCAGAAATACTGAAAATTTTTTTCCTGTAATAGAATATATAATTAACCACATATAAGTCTCTTCTCTTTTTAGTCATTAATAATGCATTTTAGAATTAAACTGATGCCTAATGACTTTATATAAGAGTAATCAAATTACGCTAAAAATATTACAATGCTATATATAATAAAACATTACAAAACAAAACATTCTGGCTTATCGATATCTAAACAAAATACTAAAGGAACATTCGAGTCTTGTTTGTGTTGCTGTTTCAGCCTTTGGGCCTTGTTTGTTCTCCCTATGAGAACTTTTCTTCAAATAACAAAAAGAAAATTAACCCCTGAACAAAAAATAAAAAGAAAAGATAATTAACCTAGGTTCACTTCAGTGCACGTGTATCAAATTTCAACGCAGCATGAGAACTAGAACATCGAAATTCGAAACAAGTAGAATGGCGACCAAGGATTCCGATGTGTATCACGAAAGGCAAAGGTTACAGTTCTGCCTCTTGCACTCTCTCAACTCCCTCTTTCAGGTTTCTTTCTACTTTCTTCCCTTTTCACTTTTTCTCTTTACCAATCACTCATCCTTCAATTTCATTCCTACCCATCAAACATGTCACGCTTTTAATTTTAAATTTCTTTTCTTTTTTCATAATTTTACTCATTTATGCCTCTTTCTGCATTTGGGTTTTTTCCCTTTCTCTCCAATCAGCAAAAGGATGCTTTCACTCGAGCAAAATTGAATGCAATTTCTGAAAGACTGGCACTTGATAACTTCAACAAAGAAACATGGACACCATTATCTATCCTTTTCAAACCTCATCATAATGCCTTGACTGGAAACTACGATATAAATGTTCTAATTGCTGCTTTGGAAGAGAAAGGAAAGAGTGTGGTTTGGCATGATCGTAGAAATGGAGCATCTTCCATTGATCTCGATGCGTCTGAAGATGTATTGATGGGAATTGTGATAAATGTATCAGTGAAAAGGTTTGGTGGGATTTGGAGAAGTAGGCATTGGATCACATTGAGGAAGATTGATGGGGTTTGGTATAACTTGGACAGTGATCTTTCTGCCCCTCAACCTTTTCTAGGCACAGATAAAGTAAGGGACTTCTTGGATTTTACATTGGCTCATGGTGGGGAGGTTTTGATTGTCATGAATGAGAAACAGGCTTAAAATTTTTCGCTGAATGTTTGTTAGTGATTGTGTATGTGCTTGTATATAGTACAAGACTAATAGCATTTCAACGGAGAACGTAGCTACGTTTTTCCTTGTGTCTTCGATGATTCTTTGCGAGTTTGTTTTGTGAATAACAGTAAAAAGTTGCTTCTGGAGGATGTTCTTAATAAGAAATAGTGTTCTCTAATGCACTTGTTAAATGCAAGCTTCATTGTGTGTCTTGGATCTGCACTGCACCTTTGAACCATTAGATACTTACTGTGTGCTCTGATACTTCATTTTGAAAAGAGTTGGAAGTGGTAGTATGTAATCATTGTGTGCATTTCTCCTGAGAACTGTTGCTTATCACTAGGCAATGTTTCTCGATTGATTTTCTGAATTTCCGGGGCTTATATGTTTTTCTTTCTTTAACTGTTGTAAAAAAATGCAAAATTTGCTATTTAAGCAGTTACTATTAATAGTGGAAAGAGACTATTGTGTACATCAGCATTAGGCGGAGATACTATCATAGAAACTTACTCCTCTGGTTCATATAGGTGTTTGAATGAAAGATGCATCTTTACTCGAAGTTTTATCAAGGTGAAGATTTCCTAGTTGAGTATAGATTCCTCATTACACCAGTAAAAACCAGTGTTTTTTTTTTGTCTTCATTTAAAGTCATGTGGGCTGCATACATTAGAGTGGATGAGTGAAGATCCTGCTAAAGGTTTTATTTGATGTTTTGGTTTTGTGGCTGAGGAAACCCACCTAAGATGGTAGCATATGCATATTTATCATCACGGAATAAAAATATCTTTGTTTTATAACCACGTAGGCTGTGTAGGCTGCATGTGTAACTTCAATTTCTTCTACAATTGCAACTTGTAAAATATTTTCTGCTATTTCCTACAAGTTCTTGTAATTACATATCCTTTTGATGTTGATTATCCCATGATTTTGATACATAATGAAAGGAAGTTGCTAGATAATATTAGAAAAATAGACGTAACTCATTCCCAATTGCTCAAAAGAAAAAGATTGTGCAAGTCTCAGCATCTTGGCCTTATTTTTAGCCAATTTTGGACATCTTATCTCCCTCCTGTTTAGGATTGAATATCCAATGTGTGAACTTTATATGACTGGACATCTGCGAGTGATTCAACATAAAGATTGAGTAGACTTTGATACTATATCAAAAAACTGACCGTTACTTACTCTCAAAAGTTAACTAAAAAAGGAAGGATTATCTGAGTTTATAAAAAGTATTTTGGTCTTATTCTTAATAAATATGAGATATATTAACAGATAGCACAGGTTATAGCCATCTACGAATGGATGAAGAGAAGAAATCATCATTTTATAGCTATCGTTATTCTTATGCATATCTCTTATAATGTCCAAATCTATGCCTCAATCTTCCAAACAAAGCGTCATACCCATTTTTTACTTCCTATTGTTCAGTTCTAAGTGATACTATTTGGCTTGTCTGTCTCACTACACCATGCATCTGTTCTTATCAAAGGCAAATGAAAAAGGATCAAATTTTTGGAGGGTTAATCTAAGTGGTGTTTTTATTTGTATTTTCAAAGTCCTTGGGGGGGTCGGAAAGTCGTAGTGATGCTCTCATTTTGTAAATAGCAGTTGGTGTAGATTTAGTGTCCTAATTATTAAAACATATTCCCACTCCATTTCATGATTGATAGATTGATTTATTAAATCATTTCAACATCTAAGTGGAGAATATCAAACCCCTACCTTTTTCTTTTGGCATGTGGTCCACTTTTGACCATATGTGCTAATAATTTGCTGATAGAAGGAAGAAGGGTAACTCAACTGTTGTGCTGCATTTGCTGCATAATACTAAAAATCGCCGCATATTTCCCAAGGAGCTCCAATGTGGTCATAAGTTTCACACCATGTATTGACCCTTGTTCATCTCAATCAGTAGAAAATTTGATGGTGACTTTATATCCTCAAAAGCATGCTAGATGACGTTCTTTTGCTTTCTTTTAGTCAAAAGATCCTGGATATCATATTTTATTTTTAACTTTGGAAGTTTCACACTATTTTTTTATTTTAAACTTTGTAAGTTCCACATTGCCACTAAATTTAGATCTTGGATATTTGATATTACATCATTTTACCTTTTTTTGTTACATATATAATAAAACAAGAATAACACACATTCATACCCTTTATTTTTTAAGCAACGTGTTGAAGTAGCTATGGCATTTTAACATAGAAACATCAATTTTCATTTTCCATTGCTAAATGAAGACCCAGCATATCTTGTAAACTTCACACTGTATCCTATTCATTATAGATAAAATATTTAGGAGCAAAATGGTTGGCCGTGTGCACTTAGAGCTTTGAGGAAAGAATTAACAAATAAATAATGGAGCAATTCTAGTGCTGCTGCTGCTAGCATCTTCAGTGTAATGAGTGAGGGAGTGTAGCCCCCACCTTCCTTATATTTATATGGGTTACTTGCTCTAAGGGTGGGATGAATTTGGGTTTGGAATGATGACTCAATTGCTTTAAACTAAAAATATTCCTGCTATCTTTGATTTTACTCATCTTAGATACCGCTTCTTTCTCCATTACATGGAAAAGTATAAGCGTGTGCTCTGCAAAGTCACAGGGTGGTACTGCATCTTAAATAGAAAGTAATAAAGAGGGCAAGTGTATCTGCTACTTTCTACACCTTTAATATACATCTTTCTCACCGCCTCAAATGCTCCTATATGTCACTTTTTTACATTAATCTTTTTATGAACTTTCCTTTGTACTTTTATTGCCTTTGGTAATTTTTGGACATGTATACAGAAAGTCACTAGAAGCTCCATTAGAAGAGTAGATCATACGAAAGGTAAACCTATAGAAGGAAAATCATTAAGGAGTTAGAGGTCAATAATTTATTTATAAGCATGATTCACGATAAAATATTATGACTCGTTTAATTTATGTAACCAATTTCATTTAGTAAAAATAAACTTGGTTATTGTTGTTTCTTTGTTTGTACTTTTCCCCAGTTCTATCATGATAAATATACTCACACGAGAGAAATAGTGAAATAGTCCTATAAATGCTTGTTTCTCACTCAAGCACACAAGAACCTCCTCATTCCTTACTTCCCACCTCTACAACTACTCTGCTTCTAAGTCTCACCTTTCAACTTTCAATAGCATCACATACACAGTCTCTCCTTGCTCTCTCTCTCTCTCATTCTCCTGCATATTATGCTATCATCATAGAAACAAGAATAAGAAACAGAATGAGTCACACTGGCTATTTCAATGAGAAAACAAGCATGTCTTTGAGACAAAACTCTAATAGGAAATCAACAAGAAACCGGCAAGTGAGGAGCTGCATGTTCAGAGTTCCATGGCAGCCTGAGACCTCTCCCATTGAACTTGTCAAGGATCTTGCAGGAAAAGTGACAAGCGCTCTACGCTTGATTCCAAGGAGATCGTTACACCGAGGCTCGTCTTCCTTAACAAGATCAAAATCAGCAGGATCATCTGCTGATTCTTATAGAACAGCTGCTGTTGAAGACTGCATTGAGTTCATCCACTCTTCCTTTTCTAGATCAAATTCCTCAACCCCTGCATCGCGCGAAATTTCCATTCATGCTCCTTGAGACGCTTGCCATCACATGCTTGCTACCATGTTTATGTATATCTTCATCTCTTCCCACACCACATAGTGAAGGGAACTTTACGTACTAAGCCATCCTTTTATGTTTCTGTACAAACAGAACCAGTGTATATTCTTTTGATGAATCTCCAACCATGTGCATTTTCATTTCAGCTTATTCTAATGTTTGAATTTCAATCTCTTGCCTTTTTTTCGTTTTTCTTTACCTGTCGGGAATCCAACATTATTATATGGTCAATCATTTGCAATAAACTATGATCCTCATTAGAAATAGTGAGCACTGATTGATAGGATTTGAAGTTTAATGCACATGCTGTACTAACTGTAACATGATTTTTTGTTGGAAAGGGTAAAACAATATGTGATGATTATATGAAATCCTTAGCCTATATATCTCTGTTATATTCGTATTTTCTTTCTTTAATAAATCTTTTGCTATCTAATTCACATTACAGGGTTATACATTCTTATTGGAGAATCATATATAATCCCTGCCTGTAGAGTGATTGTATTAATGCATTATTTCAGTCTTATGGGTTCTTAAAAAGTATCGAACTTAAATGATTTTATTTTCACCATTTAACAACAGATGATGGTGTTAAGGTTATCTGAGAGTTTGAGACCAACGGTTAGAGTAAAAGCTCAAAGCGGAAGGTCCTTTGCATCATGATACTTGTCCCTTTTGTAAGGCATTGAATCCGGTCTAGTTGATCATAATTTTGGACTTGGTTTCAATTTAATTGGAACTTTTGCATAAATGAATTGGAGTAAAGGATATTAGCTTCTGATATCATTCAACAAACACAATAGGCCCTAAGCCACAAACGCCTCCTCTTTGACACAACATTAACCCGTTCTTAAAGCTAATTGCACGATTTAAGGCTAAAATCCTCATAAAGCAACACCGTTTAAATTGTCAAACAGATTGCACCCTGTTAGTAAGTCGTAAGTAACTGAACCAGAGAGAACCATTCTGTTTATAAATTTCAATGAACCAAAAGAACAAAACATAACATCAAGATTCCATAATGGTCAATAGATTAAAAGCTAAATGGAAAGGAATATAATGCATGCAATTGAACAAGGTAATTGCATGAAAATTCCTTCAATTCTTTGCAAACAACCCCCCAAAAGCACCCTTCTTCGTTGGTGGCACAGTCACAGAGTTCTTGCGGCCATTGGTGGTGCCTCCACTTTTTTCCTCCACCTTTTTGAGTATAGGATCAGTCTCTAGTAGCTGATCTTCCTTCTGTAAGCCCCCCAGAATCCAATCAAATAATCCTTTCTCCTCCTTGCTACCACCTGCACCCTTTGCAGCTGTTGCTGCAAACACTGTTCCTGTTGCTGGAGCAAATGACATGATCAGAGAAGCCATCTAAAAGAAGCTAAGCGGACACAACCTACAATATTTTGGTTGGATTTGAATACGGGAGAAAGAAGGCCAAGTACCAATGATGATATATCTCTTGTGGCTGCTGCTCTGAACTCAATCTGAGCCGTTGGCTTTGGCTTGCATTGTGACATGAAAACTAAGTAGCACTACCTCTCCACCAGTGTCTTATCTTCATTGTTTCTAAATTCTTTGGTACATAAAATTTTGAGGAAGCTTAAAAATATACTTTTTGCATATTATTAGTTATCGATTAAAATTATTAAAAATTATAAAATTATGAGTAAAAGATATTAAATTAGAAGTGAAAAAGAAGGTGATCAAATAAATTTTAATAAATTTTAATTAATAACTAAAACATTAAAATACATGTTAAAAAATTGTATTGTGGGAGTCTCAAATTTTTTCTCAGCGAATGAAAGATCAGGCATTGGCAAGGTGAAAGTGAGATGAAGAGCAGCTGTGGCTAAGGATTTGACGTGTGGCATGCTCACTCCTATTTTGAGTATTAGTGGGTATTGGGCACCGCTTTTCTTTTATAGGCCTATGATTAGGATGTCCTTGTTGCATAGTCATCTTTAGCCCATTATATGCTGGGATCAGCGTGAAGAACCCCATTTTGGTCTCCAATATAAAAAATACAAATGGGTTCTTATGAATTGAGCAAGGAGATGCAAGATTTTTGTCTTGTGTATAGTGGATCTAGAGGGATAAGTTAGTAGGAAGAAACTACATTTGCTCTTCAATGAGGAGTGAGTATCTGATGTATCTTATGCATATTTCGAATAGATTTCAACATCGAACATCTAATTCACACTTCAAGATTCCAAAGTTAAAACCGAAAAGAGCACGACAAGTGCACTTTCAAGATCAATAAACCAGTAGTATTAGCATCAAAGTTGGAATAAAACCAAATAAATAATTTATATCATGGTTTTATATAAAAAGTTCATAACATAATTCTTAAATTTTTATTATAAATGAAGTTGAAGTGATTTTCATTTTTATCATAAATAAAATTTATTATTATAAAAAACACATGGGACATACCATTGTTATATTGTTCTTATAATTTTTTCCTTCTTGTTGCAATTTCTTTTTCTTGTTCTTACATTTTGTTTTCTGTTTTCGATTTATTGTTTTTGCAATTTCTTTCTTTTTTTCCTCTTTTAATTTCTTATTCATGTTCTCGTTTTTTTTTCACTCTTGCAATTTCTTTTCTCTTTTCTTTTCTTACATTTCTTTTTCTTGTAATTTTATGTTCTTGTTCTTGCAGTTTATTTATCTTGTTCTTACAATTTCATTTCTTCCTCTTTCAATTTCTTGTTGTTCTTCCTTGTAATTTCATTTTTTTCCTTCTTGTGTTATTTTATTCTTGCAATTTTTTCCTCATTCTTTTTCTTGTAATTAACTTCTTTTCCTTATTCTTGTAATTCTTTTGCTCTTGTTCTTGCAATTTATTCTTTCTGTTTGCAATTTATTATTCTTGTTCTTACTTGCTCTTTTTGTTTATGTTTTCAATTTATTATTCTTCTAATTTCATTTTCTTCTTTCAATTTCTTCTTCTCATTCCTTGTATTTTTTTTTCTTGTTCTTCCAATTTTGAATTCATGTTCTTGCATTTTCTTTTTCCTGCCCTTTCAATTTCTCTTCGTTGTTCCTTTTCTTGTAATTTATTGTCCTTGTTCTTGTAATTTTTTGCTCTTGTTCTTGCAATTTCTTGTCTTGGCGTGCAATTTGTAATTCTTATTCTTGCAATTACTTATTCTTTTTATTTTTGTTTGCAATTTATTGTTCTTGCAATTTAATTTTCTTTCTCTTTTAATTTTTTTCTTGTTCTTGCAATTTCTTTTTCTTGTGCTTGAAGTTTTTTTTTTCTTGTTCTATCATAATTTCTTTTTTTTTTCTTCATATTGCAATTCCTTGTCCATGTTCTTCCATTCTATTTCTTGCCCTTATAATTCTTTATTCTTGCAATTTCTCTATCTTGTTCTTAACAATTTCTTGTTTTTGCAAATACTCTTTTGGTTTATCTGTGCGATTTACTGTTTTTGGAATTTTATTTTGATTGTGCTCTTTCAATTTATGTTCCTCGTTCCTTTCCTTGTAATTTTGTTTTCTTGTTCTTATAATTTGTTGTCCTTGATTTTGCAATTTCTAGTTAACACCAGGAATGATAACCCAACGGGAAAGCTAGGTACGTATTAAGTTCTCATTAATATTGGTATTAACGGCATATATTATGAATTTATAATCTACTAAGGAAGCTTTAGAAACCCAATATCACATCCATGCAAGAAATAAGAAAAGATCAGAATTTGTTACTCATCTCCACTTGTTTTCGCTCTTTTAAAGATTTGAATGAGATGGTCATGAATGTAAAATTATAGAGGAAGATCCCATTAAGAAAATTCAGAAAGCAAGTTGCACTTTAGGCCAATCAGATCTGAGTTCAGCAAAGAGATTGCATGCAATATTTGCTCTTCGATGGGGAGATAGTGCCTGGCAACAGTGAAAAATGGTGTCATATGCATTATTTGGAATAGAACTTAACATTGGGCAGCTAATTAACAATTACAGGATTCCAAAGTTAAAACCAGAGAGCACAAGATAATAGACTGGCAAGATCAATAAACCAGAAGCATCAACGTTGAAATAAAACCAAATAAATAATTTATATCAAGCTTTTATAGATAAAAGTTCATAGCATAATTTTTAAATTTTTATTATTAATGAAATTTAAGTGGTTTCCACTTTTGTCATAAATAAAAATTATTAATTGTTTTTTATATCTAAAAAATTTAATATTAACTTTTAAGTAATTAAAAATATTTAAAACTGTATTTATTTTCTTTTAACTTGAAATTAGTCCAGTTTTAATAAAAATATTTTAAAATCCAAAAAAATTAGTATAAAAATTAAATAATTTTTATAAATAGAAATAATTTATCTCTTTAAAATAAATTAAATTTTTAATAAATAAAAAACATAAATTGTAGAATTTTATTTATTTTTTATACTGATTTTTTTCCCTTGTAACGATTAAAATTTGATATTTTACATTTGATTGAGTATATTTTATCAAAATATTAAACAAATATTTATCTTCATAATTTAATTATTCTTTTATATATACTAATAAAAGAATTATTAGTTTTTACTCACATTTACTACTTTAATATTAAACATTGAAGAGGTCCCCATGCACCTGTTGTAACATACGTGGACTCTCTCTACAGTGTACTGATAATTACTGATAAACATACCTAAATAAATAATAATAATTTATGTACTATTAGTGTAGTTTTTATATTTAATAAATATTAAAATTTGTATATGACGACATTAAGAGAAATCCTATTTAGTATAGAAGTTTGATGCATTCCACCAAAATTAGTTATAAAACTAGAATTTTACTGCACATTTTTTTTTTCTAAAACAAAGTTAAATAGTAATTTAAAAATAAAATGTAAGAAAATGCATCATATAACTAATTTTTTTATTTTAAATTATATTGTTAAGATATTTCTATTTGAATCTTGAAATGGTATTTAGGTGTACTGGACATAAAAGTAATGCATAATTTGTTAAAAAAAAACAACATAATTGAATACCTGTAAATAATAAGGTAATTAAATGATATGGCCAACGACCAAAAAAAAAGAAAAATTTAACAATATGGAATAGTGATTTTGGTTCATTCTAGAATATAAATTAATTTTTTTATAAAATAGAAATAAATTAACAAATACTAATTAAAATAGAAAAAATATTGCCAAGAAATTAATTCCAATTGCCAGAAAATTAACACTGAATGTACTCGCCAAAAATAAATACTACTGTGCAAATGTTATTAAAAATATCAGAACCAATAATATTGATGCATTTTAACAAATATAAGGATACAAATTAATTAAGCAACGTTTCAATAATAACAGTTATTATTATCATTTATTTTATCAGGAATTTATTCTTATAATTTATTTCAAATAATATTTTTATTCAAACATTAAATAATAATAATAATAACAATAATAATAATAATAATAATGTTATATGATCTACCTCATTATGTTATATGATCTATTCAGCTTATTGAAATAAAATGTAAAATGTATTTTTCCTTATTATTTAATTTTTCATTAAATAAAACAAAACAGACAGATTCAAATTTTTTTAATTTAGTTTAAATTTAAAATTTGAATTTTCAAAAAATTTTGAATTTAAAAATATTAATGTGTTTAATTTGGTCTTATTTAACTTAATAAAATATTTTTTTTTTCATCATTGCTTTTAAATATAAATGAAACTAAATTAAAGTGATAAAAAAAATTTAAATTAAAAATAAAATTTGAAAATTTTTAACTTATATTTTAAAATACTAAATATTACATGCAAGAAAAATCACATAGTATAATTTAAAATAATTATTAAAAACTATTCTCATTTAAACTAATTCATAAAACTACTTCTTTTAGAATGAAAGGTCACAATTAATATATGCAAATAAGTATTTAATTTTTGCCAAATAAAGTTTAGTTCAGCCAAATTAATTAAATACATAATTTTTTTTACAGTGATGTATGTTATCATCTAATGCATAGTGGTCTTGTAGTGAGAAATAATAGCTAAGTTGATTGTCATTAAATGATACAAAACAAAATCATTTTTCTTATTTTTAAAAAAATCTAAGAATTTTTTCTTAGAAGTATTTTTTTAATAGTGGAATAGAAGTATTATACTACTTGGAACACATTTTTATATGAATAATTTATTTTAAAAAATAAAAGTATATATTAAAAAAGTGTGTAAAAGATTGTATTGCTGTGATTTGTCTTGTTTCATATTTTGCGAAAGCTCGTTTTCTCTCTGCGGATAAACTGTCTTGAACGACTCTTTCTCTTGCCCTCTACGCAGCCATACAAAGAAAAGAAAGGATGTTAGCGTTGAAATCTTAGAAAATTTATTGAAGTGTCATATAAGGGAGTAGAGTGGTTAAAGGCTGGCCACGTTTTTGACCCCATAATAGTTAGCTACTTCTCTAACACAAACATTTCTTTCTGACACTGACAGTTTAGGTTAGAAATTCATACGATATTTATCAAATTTATATATGCAGTAAATAAAATGAACATCATTTATTATGAAAATTTTAGTTGGCTTTTTCAATAATATTGGTTATCTAACTTAGCTTGCCCTTCAAATCTAAGATATTTCAATGGCCATGGTAAATTCTTACATGTATCCACTCAAACGAATTTGAAAAGAGAAGCTCCATTTCATATAACTATATACCTTAAGAGATCTCAACAACTTATAATTCATTAATGATATTAAGTGAACTAGCTTTAACATGTTTTACTTTATGTAAGCAGTTTTAATTGAATTTATATTAGCATTTACAACTCTATAATAATTACATCAAATTGCACAGAATACAACAAACTGTGCATAAGCATATATACTTATATATATATTATGAACAAAATCTTTCTCTTTTATAACTGAGTCGTTATTTGATGAGAAAAATCCATTATCATAGTATATCAGAATGAGATCTAACCTTATACAATAAAAATAATTATAGTTTTCATCCATCACAAGTCTTAATTTACTTATCTTCACATTATTATCTAAACCACTTATAAATTAAGTTTTAATCCAATAAATATATATAATTAACGCACATGCATGATATAATATATATATATATATATATATATATATATATATAATTATCCATTCAACTTATTTTATAAAATCAAATCTGCCAATTATAAAAGCTAAAATTAAAATGATCATAATAATACATTACACCCAACTTGGTGTATATATAAGAATCTAGTATCTAATCCGTACATATTAGAAATAAAACGATGGAAAGGAATTTAGACGGTGCCAATTTTCCCTTTACATATTTAATTACGTGTTTATTACATAATTTAATTAAGTATTTGTTTAATAATTTTTATATATTAAAATTTAGGATATAAATTTAATTATAAAATTTATTAAAATAAGTTATAAATTATTTTCATAAATTCTCTTAAACTTTTCCACATCTCCTAAAATAATTAATCATGTCTCAATTTTTAAAAAAAATTGTAATATCAATCGAATATTAAATTTAAACAATAAATTAATAACAAGATTTTGTTAAAAAGTTATATTATATTTTATATATAGTAAATACTTTTTAATAAAAAATATTATTTTAAAATGTTTAAACTCAATGAAGCTAAGCATAACGACATTTCAATCCAACACGTCACATACGGAAAGTTACAGATTGCCACTGCCACGTATACAACCATTATCTAGAATTAATCATTAATTATCATCCTAATATGTCATTTTCAACGTTAAACCACCACAAAAGATTTGTCATTTTGAGAAAGCAAATCAGATGAGAAAAAGAAACTACCGCATAAGAAGCGCAAGCATAAGGCTTTCTTGCGTCTCTCACAAGAATGGAATTAGCTTCATGTTTTTCTTTGTATTCATATCTCAAACGAAAATTAAAATTAAAACCACAAACACTCATGTGCAATAAAAATGATGGAAATAATAGGAATACAAAAATAGTTCATAATTTATTTACCTTAATTCAACTATAATAATATGTTGTGTTTATCTTTCAAAATTAATTATTTTTATTTGAGATTTTCATCACCTTTTCACATTGAATATTTGTTTACTTGGATTTTAACGAACTTCTTTTCACCTTATCTGAAAGCAGTATAGAATAATTTCTTTTACAAGTCTTCATTAATGCCAATTTAAAATAGAGTATATAATAATTAATTGTTTTCTTCTAAAAACACACTCAAAATAAATAAACCAAATACTAGATTAGAAGAAAGTTCTTATAATATTGCTCATCATATTCTATTCTCCTTTTCTTTTACTAGAATAATATTTTCACACTCATTTTCAAATGCTCTTCAAGTGCAACTGCAACAGTTCAGAAGTCACAACTCCCGTTGGAGTAGATAAATAAGTATAGTAGGATAAGCTTTCAACAAGAAAATAGTAGACTAATACATAGAATATGAAGGAAAAGCAATTCATACCAATTTTAAGGATAATCAAATACAAAGATTAAAAACTCGAAAATAATCCGTACAATTGTCAAAGATTATAATCACAATATTTTGGCACATGCGTGCATCTTATCAAATTCAAATACATAAACACATTTTAACATGTAAAAAAATATTTTACTAAGTATTTAAACAAAATCACACAAGATAATAATTAGTTGTTATATTTGTATACCCATTTTTTTTATATTTTTCATTATCTCCTTCTTTTTTTTTTATCTAATATAACATATAGCATATCTTATTATTCTCTTCACCAACTTTACACTCATTTAATAAATATCAAATTGTTATTTTCCGTTTCCTAAACATATATATGGCCAAACAACGAAGTCCTTAATAATCACAACTAAAATCCTTGCATATCACAAGATAAGTAAAGAATTTATTTCCCCCCACCAATGTTTAATAAACTCCCAATCAGTTTTTAATTTGAGACCAGTATCATATATGAGTGCTTGAAATGTCAATTACAATTCCCATTGCGACCCCTAGCAACGCTCCTGCAATGTGCTACAAGATATATGCACCTAACATCGACCACTCCGTTGTTCACGCCAAAATTTTCCAACCAACCCTCTCCTAAACCTTCTCAAAATATCATTTATCATAAATATATAAGCAAGAATACACAATCCACTTTAGCTAATAACGTGGCTTACCAAAATAACATCAATCAATCAACATGCAAATGGAAACCCTCCCTCTCCTCCTCACACTAACGGCAGCTCTCTCAGCCTATTTCCTTTGGTTCCACTTTCTCTCTCGAACTCTAACTGGTCCAAAAGCTTGGCCCTTTGTTGGTAGCCTCCCACTTCTCTTCAAAAACCGCAACCGTGTCCATGATTGGATCGCCGCCAACCTTTGTGCCACCCGCGGTTCCGCCACCTACCAAACATGCATCATCCCTATTCCTTTCTTAGCTCGCAAGCAAGGCTTCTACACAGTCACTTGCCACCCCAAAAACCTTGAACACATCCTCCGAACCCGGTTTGATAACTACCCCAAAGGACCCAAGTGGCAAACCGCGTTCCATGACCTTTTAGGCCAAGGTATATTCAACAGTGACGGAGAGACATGGCTCATGCAACGCAAAACCGCCGCTCTAGAGTTCACCACACGAACGTTGAAACAAGCCATGTCTCGGTGGGTGAACCGCTCCATCAAGAACCGGTTATGGTGCATTCTAGACAAAGCAAGCAAAGATAATGTCTCAGTGGACTTGCAAGACCTTCTTCTACGGTTAACCTTTGATAACATTTGTGGACTCACGTTCGGAAAAGACCCCGAAACTCTTTCCCCGGAACTACCTGAAAATCCGTTCGCCGTTGCTTTTGACACTGCCACTGAAGCCACCATGCACAGGTCCATACAATAATATACGTAAACTCTAATTTTTTTTTTGTTAACAGTTTATAATTTCTCATAATTTATTAATGATTTTGAAATGTTTTAAATTAAAATGATGGCTATAGTTTAAGACCTTGAGTAATGTCATTTTAATTTGTAAGTAATTTCTGAAATTAAAATGATATGTTTATAATTTTATGAAGTTTAATTTTGATGATACATAATTTATGACAAGAATTCTATTATTGACCAATTAAAATGTACCACAGATATAATGTTTATATAGATTATTATAAAAAATTTATAAATCTCATTAATATAATAATTCAGTATTAGGTTATAGTATAAAAATATTTTTAGTATATATTTTGATTAAATTTAAAGTTTATCTAAATTATTCTATGAGATAAATAATCCTATATTATAAGTAAATTAATGAAATTCTATTTATAAAAAATTAAATTAAGTTATATTATTTTAAGTTCGTTAATTCAACTGAAATGAAGTTATTTACCCATAAGATAACTCTGAAATTTAATTTTAAAAGTAATAAAATTAATTTTAATATTAATTTGATGTATCACTCTAAGCTCAGATTTATTTTTGTACTATTGTTTACAGGTTCCTCTACCCGGGTCTAGTGTGGAGGTTCCAGAAGCTTCTGTGCATTGGACCAGAGAAGAGGTTAAAGGAAAGCCTTCGAATTGTTGAATCCTACATGAACGACGCCGTTGCGGATCGCAAGGAAACTCCCTCCGACGATTTGCTATCTCGTTTCATGAAGAAACGCGACGCCAACGGCAACCCCTTCTCCTCCGCCGTCCTTCAACGCATCGTCTTGAACTTCGTCCTTGCCGGAAGGGACACGTCATCAGTGGCTCTCACCTGGTTCTTCTGGCTCCTCATCAACCACCCTCGCGTCGAGGACAAGATCGTAAACGAGATAACCACGGTTCTCGCCGACACGCGTGGCGGAGACCGCCGCCGGTGGGTGGAGGATCCGCTCGACTTCGGCGAAGCAGACCGGTTGGTGTATCTGAAAGCGGCGTTGGCCGAAACGCTGCGTTTGTACCCGTCGGTGCCCCAGGATTTCAAGCAGGCGGTCGCCGACGACGTGTTGCCGGACGGTACGGTGGTACCGGCGGGATCGACGGTGACTTATTCGATATACTCGGCGGGGAGGGTGAAGACGATTTGGGGTGAGGATTGCATGGAATTTAAACCGGAGAGGTGGGTTTCGGCTCGGGGAGACCGGTTCGAACCGCCCAAAGATGGGTTTAAGTTTATGGCTTTCAATGCTGGACCAAGAACTTGTTTAGGGAAGGATTTGGCTTACCTGCAGATGAAGTCTGTAGCTGCTGCTGTGCTGTTGCGTTACCGGCTATCGCTGGTTCCCGGTCACCGGGTCGAGCAGAAGATGTCTCTCACTTTGTTCATGAAGAATGGGCTCCGGCTGTTCTTGCACCCACGTAAGCTTCACGAAGGGCCAGGCAGTGCCACGTCACCGTAAATGAGGGGCGTTTTCGTCATTCTCTTATGGATGCGGAGGGTACAGTGCTGTGTGCTTCTTCAGCAGGAAGCATTTGAAAGGGACACGTGTTTGTTACATTTTATTTGCAATATTTGGTGGTTGTTATTTGTGTATCATTATTTCTGCGTCATTTTAATTTTTTATTGAGAAAATAAAAATAGAAAATGTTTATGTTGAAAAATATTTTTTTATTGTCTGAAAAGAAAATCCTATAATATTAGGATGTAGAGAATAATTTGTAAATAATATTTTAATTCAATCTTACGTTTAGTTATTGTGATGTTGCCTGAAGCGAAGAGTGGTGGCATCCTAATTTATGTTATTTTGCTCTCTGAGTTTGTATATTTGTTAAAATTAAATTAAATAAAGTGTATCACGTTCACTTATTTACCAAAATAATATAAAAATATATATTTACCTATTATAAATAATTTTTATTATTTATAAATATTGCATGCCATAAGAATAATATATACTATGTATTCTATATGTATCAACTAGTTTTTTTTTAGTATTGACCAAGATAAGTTGTTGCAGCTCAAAACTACATAATTTAAAATTTTTATAACTAATGCCCTTAGCAAGATAGATTATGGCAATCTCTAAATGAACCATGATTTTACAAATTTTAATTGCTAAAATTTTTAGAGCTTTCAAATTTGACAAAATACAAAGAGTTAATGTAGACCTTCTTGTAGAGTTCATCGGCTTAGAGTTTATGTAAATTGGAGGAGATGTGAAATCAAAGAAAAACAAAAATAAATAAATTAATAATTAATTACCTAAAAATGAAAAGAAGAGAGCTCGCCAAAGATATATTCCAGTGTAGAAGCAAAAGAAAATGGAGGTAGGAGAGACAAGACAAAGGCAGCAAAACAACAAGAGCTGTTGAAGGGATTATGATTTCATGCAATTTAGAATATTTTTCTTCTCCCTCTACAACCCTTAAAAATTTAGTTTACAAAATTATAAATTTTTTAAAATGGTGACAGTTTAAAACCAACAAAAACTAAGTTTAAACTGCCCCACTATAATACTTAATTACAGTGATTAGACAGAAAATATCCTAAACAGGTAAATATATTTTTATATTATTTTAGTAAACAAGTCTCTAAAAATTTGATAACACAATTGTAGAGTTAGCAACTTTTATTATCAAAGGTAGTAACAAAAAAAGTAATTTAGTAACTTATATATCAATTTTTATCCATATATATTTATTAAAATAATTCTAACAATAATTAAGTATTGACATAGTGATTACAAAATTGTTCTTCATGTTATCACCTTTAAAGGAAAGGTCGTTGCCTCTGCAACAGTATTTGACAGATTTTCAGAAAGAAATAAATTGATACATTTTATTTAAAATGATAACATTAAAGAAAAAATTTAAAACATAAAAAAACTATTTTTACATATATAATAAGCACAAAATTAATTAACTATATTTTACAAATGAGCAATTATGTCGTTTCATTTAATTAAAAATATATTTATAAATAAAATAAAAAATTATTATTTTATTTTTTAAATAAATTAAAATATAAAATTTAACTAATTTATCTGTTAATTTTACGAAAAACACACCCTTGACTTGTCCTGCCCTTTTAACTTCTTTTTTAAGTCTGATGCCGCTAAGGCCATTTACATTTACAGATGATCAATGCTTTTTATTACTCATTAATGGCCATTAACACCCTTGCCATCATCTTATAACTGACTGTAGCCCGTTAATGCCATTTTCATTAGTTTTTAAATTTCTTTAATTATTCTTTTTATTAATGAAACACTAATTGCTTTTATAAAATAAATTCAAATTTGATCCACACAATAAGGTCAACATTTCAAACAAAATGCTATCAATATCGTGGAATTAAAAAAATGAATGAAAATGATTATTTAATTTTTTATTTTTAAATTAAATTCCAAACAGTTATATAATAAAGTTGGATTGGATTGAAGTTGTGCACTTGAACAAATATCGGATTCATATTGCTGATTATCAAGTTTTTGTTTTCTTAAATAGATTTTTTTTCATTAAAATCATGGCATATAACAAATATGGTTGGTTATCTTGGGTAACAAAAACTTGCTCAAAAACTTGTACAAAACTGAGTGATATTAACTTTAAATTCAAGTTTAAACAAACATAATAAATTATAATTTTTGTGTGATGGAGTTAAAACTTATTTATTAAAAAAAATCAAATATAGATAAATTTTTCTTTATATTCATTTTATAAATACCAACCAACAAAACGCAAAATTAATCTAAGTGACGTAATAACGCCAACAGGAGTTAAGAAAAACCAGTGGATTTCCTGCAAATATATTCCTATATCACTGCTTTTAAGAACTGCGAACATTGAATAGTTGACAATAAGACCAGAAAAGCCAACACCACCAATAGATGGTTAAGAGAAGACATACGGTATAACATTATTTTTTATTTTATATATACACACGTCCCATAATCTCTATTAACTAAGAAGAAGAAGAAATAATCTCTATTAAATCCATCTCTCTTTTTCCTTCTGAACAATATTGATTCTCTTGGTGAAAATCTATGTTTAGGCTTTGATTCCCATAACCGGTTGCTACGTTGAACAAGTGATAGATATATAGATCCGAAGGATGGTAATTTAAGGGGGTAGGATGAGCCTCTAAATGCTGGAGATTATTAGCATCATCATTAACCTTTCCTTGACAAAAATCCAAGTCGCAGGTTGGAGAAACCATGGAGAACATAGAATCTTCAAGTTCAACATTGCCAAGTGATTGCTGATTCTGATTCTCAGTGAAAATTTGTTGCATGAAGGGTAGCTCATTGGCAAGAGATTCAGAGGGTTCAGAGAACACAAGGTTTAAACTTTTTGCATCAGGGTCTTCTAAGATAGTTGTATCAGTGATGATGCCTTGTGTTGGGTTGATGCAAGTAGTGCCAATTAGAGTCTGGCTTCTGATGTAGTCTTCAAGTATAGAGGAATTTGGCTTTGTATTAGAGCTGTGCATCTTCCTGTTCTTTCTCTTTGAATTCTGTCTCCTTTTAGTGGCATTCCAATGGTTCTTTATGGCATTTTCTGTTCTTCCTGGAATCTTTTTGGCTATCTCAGCCCAACGATTTCCGACCCTGGCATGCGTATCTACTAATATCCTCTCTTCTTCTTCACTCCAACTATCCTTCTGCCAAGAAAATATATAACTAGTATATATGTTACTTTCTAACTGAGATTTATAAGCTAACTAAAAATCAATAAAACGAAATTTATGGATATGTTTGAAAATTATATGAAAAAAGTGACAAAAGTGCCCGCGCTTCTGTGGGAATTTCTGAAAATATATGATGTTAAAGGCTAGAATATATAAGAAACGCCAAGGATTTATATATTATTGACATGCAAGAATGAATTGCATATTTTGATAGATGGTAGTGTGACTTACAAGGTATATCTATGCAAATAATGGAGGAAGCCCTATCAGATTATTTCAGTTATGTTAACAAAATGTTCTTAAATAAGTGTAATAATGTTGAAATTGAAACATGCATGGTTTCAAGAGGAAAAAATAAGAGAGTGAGAAAAACAGGAACCTATAATGATTTATTACAAAAATGTCAAGGTCGTCTAGAATTGTTCTGTTTGACATACGAAGATTAAACTTTAGCAATTAATAAGAAATAAAAGGAAAAATATAGATGAACGACCTGCATGCTGATACCAAAAATAGAGCCTTGATTTTCACCAGAAAAATAAAAGACAGATCCTTGATGGTCTGAATCTAATTCGAGAAATGTAGTTAAGAAAATATCATAAATAATTTCGAGGTAGTCATGGAAAAGCTTTGTTAAAAACTATGATTAGTTGTAGTATTTCATGCAACTTTGTGGAAGAATGATCCATGGTCATGCAACTAACATGGAGTGTATAAATGACCATTGACTAGTAATAAGCCATTAACAAACCTTGATATCAGGACGCAAATGATTGTGCCATCTTTCTCGACATTGCTTGCCAATCCTTCCCTCCAACTTCTCAGCTATTTCAGTCCATTTTCTTTGATCACCATATTGTTTCACCAACCTTATCAGTTTCCTTCAATTATACCAAATATATAAAAATCCACTAAAAACTTTAGTAAACAAACATATATTTATTAGAATCGCAAACTAAAGCATAAAAGGAATACAAAAGAAAATAAAGTCTTAATTTATTCAACCTGTCTTCTTCTTCAGTCCACTGTCCTTTGATCCAAAACACAGAAGACTCTTTCTTACTTCTCTTTCCCACCACTCTTGCTTTCTTACCTAAAAGTCTCATATCTTTCAGGCACAATGTGGGGCTTTGGTTGATGTTATTCCACATCAAAGCCTCTTCATTTGCTGTGAGCCCATCAACAAAGCACTCTTGTGTACTGTTTGGCCACAAAAAACTACTGTTCGATCCATCAGAGGAAGAAAAACTGCACAACTCCTCAGTAAAAACACTTGCATCATTGTTCCTTGCAACATTTTGTGGTTGTTGTTGCTGGTGAGGAAAATGGCTATGTTGGCCCCTTAAGAACCTTTCTATGGCTGTCAAAGGAGGGCTTGATCGATACGTAACAGAAAGGTTATAATTTGCATTGTTTTCCTCTCTTACCATGAATTGCATGAAAAGAGCTTGATTCAGAAGTGGATAGTATTATTTCTGGGCACCGGTTAAGGTATGATAAAATGGTTGACAAACACTGAAGCTTATGCCAAGCCTTTAATAAGACACATGATTAGTTAGTAGCCACTGATTATGTGCTCTATCCAAGGGTCGGGAATTAATTACAGTGTAACTCCTGAAATTCATTTTGGACAGAAGGGATTAGTGGGTATTGTTAATTCATTTTATTTATAATTAAGGGTTTTGTTAACCTTAGTCCTAAGAGCTGAGTTTAAGTTTTTATAAATAAATTTTTTTTATCAAAAAGGTATACATTTATTATATTGAAATTATAAAAATAAAATAAATATTATTTTTAATAAAATTTTATTATTATTACCTGCTTAAATTCAGCTTTAAAAATTGAGATTAACAAAACTCTATAATTAATTACTTAAATTTTATTAGATTTAAATATCATCTTAATAGACTAATTAATTGTATTGACATAAATATGAATTAATTTTCAATTATGACTCATTATTATATAATTTTAATTTTTTTGCTGGATTTATAAATATTCTAACACACCATACTCAAGCAAAGTATATGGAAGGAGTAACTGAAAAAATTTGTAGACCTAGAACTTAATAATCCTAATTTTATTAATATAACGAATTACATTAAAAATAAATTAAAGTTTGTATATTAATTAAAATCTTCTCCAAAATTATAATTAATATTTTTGAATTTGCTCAAGAACAATCAAATTGTAAAAATATGCAAAAACAAAAAACATTTTCCCAATTTTGTTTAATTTTTAACACTTTTAATATTTTTTATTGAAAATGATAATATCAATAATTTTTGTACAAAATAATAATTTTAAAATAAAAAATACTATTTCTTTAAATTAGATGAAGGAATTCTAGAATTAATAAATTGGGTGACAATAAAATAAATACAAAAGAAAAAAGTGTTTTAAGAATTTGTCTTTTCACATTGTTTAAAACTTCTTATATAAGATTACTTTGAACATATTTTTTTTCCTCTAAAATTAACTTCTTTATTTAATTTTTCATGTTTTAATGTATAAAATACCAAATTTTTATTTTCAACTATTAGCAGGTACTCAAAGGAATAAAAGCATTTTATATATAAAGATTGTAAAAAATATAAAATTTCTAAAATGTGTTATACATTTTGAGTAAAAAATATATTTAATTTATAAATAATATAAAATATTAATATTTTATATTCAACAATAATATGTTCATAAACGTATCTTTGTGCACATACGTATATTTCGAATGATAAATTATGTTAAAATTTTATATTAAAATATTTTAAGTCAACTATAAAATCTTTTAAATAATTTAAGTATTATTTTTAAAATAGTTTTAAAGAAAATTAATATACATTTTTCTCGTGCAAGTATGTGAGGTATACTTTTTAAAAATTAATTAAAATATATTAATAGTGTAAAAAATTTAATTATAAATTGTCAGGTCATTGATATTTATTTATTTTTATAATAATCACTTTAAAAGTCATCTATAATTATTTTTAATTAATTAATAGTGTAAATAATTTTTTAGTAATAATATATTAAAATTAATTTTTAAAATTTAAATATATTTTTAGTCTTATAATTTTAAAAAACTTGATTTTGTTCCTCATCAATTATATGCCAAAAACACATGTCTCACAAGGTATAATCGTTTTGTCTAATGTATGGTATATTAGAGAAAACAAAACTTAAATAGAATAAAAATAATTAAAATTAATATTTAAGGTTTATTTAGATATAGTAATTTAAAATTATTATATTATATGTATTTTAATAATAAAAATAGTATTTTAAAAATATTATAAATTTAAATTTATTATTTTATGTTGCGTTACATGGGCATCGTGCCATCTATCGCTTGGTGGACAAAAAAAAAATAGCGACTTATGTCAAATAAAAAATTCAAATGATTTATTTTTAAAAAATTATAAGTTTTTATTGTATTTATTTTATATATTTATCATTTATAATTTATCTTACACTTGATTCTTACTTTAAACATAATTTCATATTTTTAAAAATTTTCTTTCAAATAAAATTTAATGTTTTAAAATACAGGGATAAATCAAAATTGAGGTAAATAAAATAGACAAAAATTCTATATAAATTTATTTGTTAATATTTTTGGTACACATTTGTTAGGGGCTTATTGAAGTTTTGGGGGAATTGACAATTTTAGTGAAACGTTGACAAAAGTAGAATTGATTGGCACTACTAGAGTTGAGTTCACCCTTTAAAGTGGTTGACAAGATATTAAAAAACATGACACATTCTCTGCGAGAGGTTACTTCAAATATGCTCTTTAGATATTTAAATGGTTTTTTAGTAAATAATTATTTTAGTAGTAGTTGCAATAGTTTTTCTATTGTCTAGAAATATTGATTTTTTTAATTAAAAAAAAAAGAGTTAGTTATTGAACACTTGAAATCCTAAGTTGCAGAAGAAAATATTAAGATCTTTTCTTAATAGTTTTTCAAATGAAATAAATTTTACGTTTAATCAATATATTTTGAAAATATTTTAAAATTAATTAAATGAATATTTAATATTTAAATTATTCTAAAAATTGAAGCATCATTCGACTTTAATTAGTATACCCGGAAAACAATGAACTTTCATTTTTATCGTTCAAGATATTTTTAATATTAATTTCACCATTCAAATATTTTTTACATCAACTTATTCATTTTGAAATTAAAAATAAAATTAAAATTTTCCATGCTTTATATATGAAAGGATACATAAAACTAAACAAATTCGAAATGATTTTTTTATTTTTAAAGAAATTTAAAAAAAAAATCATTGAGTGAAAAAAGAAAAGTGCTGATAATTTGAAAAAAAAAATAGTTCATTTTATCTCCCCTCCATTCTAGAAATATTATATAAATAATAATAATTTTTTCACATCTGACGATAAGAGTGTAAAATAAGTGTGAAGATAAAAAGAGATTAATATAAGCATATTATTATTTAGTTTAAATTTTAAATATTAGTATTTTACATAACTGATGATAATTTTTTTTAAAAATATAATAAAAACATGTATTTTTAATTTTAACTTATCTTTATGCAGATAAAATTATATACTCCTTATTTTATTTTACTTTGAACTTATAAATATTTATTATATAACAAATTAAAAAAATTTCAAATTTTGTAATCATTAATTAATTAGTCAAAATATTAATTTTTAATTAAAATAAACTCAAGTTATATATATATATATATATATATATATATAAATTTTATATTTTAAATAAATAAATTTAATTTTTAAAATAAAATATATAAATTGATATATTAACATAAATTTAATATATTAATCATGTATTTGTCATAATAAATGATGTATAATATTTTAATTTAAAATTTATAAAATAAGTCTTTCTCTTTCTTTTTCTCTAAAAATTCTCTCCTAAAAAAATTCGGAAAAGAAAGCATATTTTTTTTTTAATTTTAAATCAACTAATTATATATCTTTTATAATTATAAATATATAATTAATATATTAAATTTATATTAATATATAACTTGATATATTTTATTTTAAAAATTAATTTTAAACATATTTATTTAAAATAAAAAAATTTGTTCACCGTTATATTTTCCTTCAAAATCTTCTTGCCAAAAATTTTATAAGTATTTGGGTCCATTTAACTGATTTATATGTTCTTAAGTTTGAGTTGATTGTGACATGTAAAAAATTACACATATAAACAAAAAAAAAAAAATCAGTCTCAAAATATTATATTTTAAAATTTTGAAAATTAATTTTCTTAAAAGATGTATATAAAAACACAACAATTATTAAAAATATAACATATAATATATTTAAACAATGAAACTGTTTGGGTAATTTATTTGAATATTGTAATTAAAAAACAAATTATCACTTTATAGCAAATTTGAAACAATTTTCCACTCTGAGGTATTTTGGATTATGTGTCCATAAGTTTCGTCAAATCGTCTGACGATTATAATTTTTAATTATAATATTGTTAATTAAATTTCGTCAACCAAATTGCAAAATTTATAAGCATTTGACACGTGTCATGTAAAGTAAAATTTTGCATATTTGATGGAAAAAATATTTTTTTAATTTATTTTTAAATTAATTTCACCACAGAACTGTCAAAACAAATGAAAGGCCAACATGTGTCAGCAGGTTGTCTAAATTCACCATTTTAGTAGCGAAATTATCAAAGAAATCACCAGCCATGCTGTGAAACTTACAGACTCGAATTCTTTTCGCAAAATATATGGTGAATTTTGAACACTATATATATCCCAACCCTCCTCTCATTTTCACCACAGAAAGGCACATTAGAAGAAAATTAGGTATGTGTAATTTAATAATTTTATTATTTAATTTTTAATGTATGAATTTAGTTATATTTAATTAAATAGATTGTTAAATTAATCAATGAGTATTGTTTATTTTATTTATGTTAATTATTGTAAAGTTTAAATATTAAATAAAGTTTATTTGTACAAAATGCAGGATGAGTGAGATTGTTATTATTATATATTGGAATGGTAGAATCTATGAAGGAAATGAAAGAGTAAGTGTTGAAGGAAGTAAAAAAGTAATTAAGATAAAACGAGGAATAAGTTATGAAACATTGAAAAGAAAAATTCATCTGAAACTTAATATTAACCATAATCAAGTGATTTATAGATTAATTTCTCATTTTTTGATTGATGAAAATATTAGACAGTATACAGCTTTGGATATATGTGATGATGAAGATATTGATTGCATGATAAGTGCATTTCAACAAAAATCTAGTAGAAATATTATTAAGTTATACGTAGATATTGTTGTTGGTGGAAGTTCATTAATGTCCTTACAGACGATGAATTTAAATTTATCACTTTCACAGCAAAAGAATAAGACCCTTGTAAGTCGTGATTATAATGAAGATAAAATTATTTTTGTTTTATTATCTTTTAAGTAATATATGTAATTGATTGAATTAAAACTAATAAATTTGTTGCAATAAAGGAGTTATGAATGATACTGATGAAGATAATGAACACTCAGATTATGAGAGTTACATTGATGGAGATGGTGAAGCAAAAATTTCATTAAGTAGTTCTTCTTCTACTTATGTTGAATGCGAGTTTAATTCCAACTTACATATACAAGTAACCGAAAATGTAGGAGGTAATGTGAAATAATTATAATGAATTTGTTTTTTGTGGTTATTTATTTATATATTAATGATAAATATAATGCAGGAGATACTGTAATTCCTTTTTGAAATGTTACTCCAAAGTATAAGTATATTAATTGAGAATATCTTGATCAAGAAATGAATAAAGAACATCTTCAAGAAGTCAATTCATGGGTTGAAGGAGATCCTTTATTTATTGGCTTATTATTTGACAGTGAAAAATGCATTAAAACATTACACAATGAAGATTCATCAAAGTTATTTTATAACTGAGTCTAAACCAACATATTTGTACGTTAAATGCTTAAACCATACCTCTGGTTGTCCATGGAGAGTGAGGGCTTCATTTTTTAAGAATTCAAACAAGTGAAAAATTACTAGGTGAGGTGGTTCACATACATGTGTCAATATGAGAATTTCTCAAGATCATCAAAAGTTAGATTCTGATTTTATTTGTTCATGCATTCTTGGTAAGTAAAATAGCAAGTTTTTTATTTTATTTTTACAATGACATTGTTATTAACTTGAGAAAATTTATTTTATGTAGGAATGGTGAACGAGGAACCATCGGTACATATTTCATTGATACAAGAGCGAATATGTGCTTAGTTTGGATATAAAATTTCATATAAAAAAACTTGGAAGGCGAAGCAAAAAGCCATTGTTAAAGTATTTGGTGATTGGGATGAATCATATGCTACCTTGCCTTGTTAGTTAGAATACATGCAATTACATTCTCCTGAATCTGTTTATAAAATTGAAACAAAAGAGTATGTGGTTGGTCATCAAGTGGATAACAGGTATAGAGTATTTGAACGGCTATTCTGGTCATTCGAACAATGTCATTAAGCTTTTAAATTCTGCAAACCTATATTACAAGTGGATGGGATGTTCTTATATGGTAAGTATCGTCATACGTTGCTCATTGCAACAACTCAAAATGGAAATAATTGTGTTCTTCCAATAGCTTTTGCAATTGTTGAAAGAGAAACAGTGTCAGCATGGGAATGGTTTTTGGCATTAATTCGTTTTCATGTTACCGATAGAGCGGGAATTTATTTGATATCAGATAGACATCAAAGTATAAAAGGGGTTGTGTCAAATCTACACATTGGGTTGCAACCTCCAAATGCATATCATGCATATTGCATTCGTCATATAGCATTAAGATATAGCATTGAAGAAAGAATTCATCAAATTGGGTATATTTTATTTTTTTATCTAGATGATTGTTAAATTATTAGATATCCATTGAATTCGTGGATACATCTTTTAATGTTTTGAATGTTCTATATGTAGGTTATACACCATCGAAGGTCATTTTTCAGCAAAAGTTAACTAGATTTCGCAATGAATCTGAAGATATACAAAGGTGGATTAACAACAAACCAAAAGGTAGATTTCTCGAGCTCCTCGATGAGGGTTCCGATGAACATATCCTAAATCAGCAACCACACCAAACTCGGCATTAAGATCAATACCTGACTCTATAGGATGTATGTCTGATGGTATAGGGTCAACTTAACTGTATGGGGCACCTGGAGTCAAAAGCGAATGGTGCTCGTGAGGATCTGTGTGTAAGTCTAGATCGACGGGATTACCACTTTCTACTGGAGGATCTGAGGATGAAACAGGCTCTAATATGCGATCTTGCTCCTTCTTCAGTGACAGGAGAGTCTCAGACAAGTCCTTTAATTCATTAAAGGTAAAAGAATCATGTCCATCAGTGCTCAAGTAATGCAATCTCTCCATCACATCACCCTAAAAATAGTCAAAAGTAACTATTACTATAATTTTGTATATAAAATAGAAAGTAATAGTAAAAAAATTATATATTTCTGTAAACATATCGACAAAGCTGATACTGCTGCCTCCCTGGTCATCCAACGACGAGTGTGACTAATATACCATCGCATGTACTCTGAATTTGAGCTAAGTAAACCATATTGAGGCTCATTAGTCAATACCCAAAGTCGTCTACTCTCCCAAATTTCTAACATAGCACTAAACTTAGCTGATCAATCTTCTCCAGTCTTCCCTCTGAGGGTAAAGTCATGTAGCTAGTCAAGCTGGTAAGGAGTCCTTGGTACGTGCTGAACCATACCAAACTAACGCATTACTCTATTAGGTTAATGTTACTCACATACCTAAAAACATATAAGTGGCACCACTGCCCTCCATAAGTTCATATCGTCTCTACAAATAGGTGGTAATATATTGATGAGTTCCATATTATATGGCACCCACACAATCTGTATGATGACAAAAAAATAGGATTAATAATAAAATAATAAATTAATTAGTGTAATATACCCTATTTATAAAAGTTGGCTATAATACCTCATCATATGCTAGACGATAAAAAATATATCTATAGTACTAGACATCTTTCTTTCCCTTTCTGATACTGTGGGATAACCATTTGCAAGTAATTTTGACCATAAAAACATGAAGCCAAACAAATAACATTATAGAACACCTACAAATGCATAGAAAAACAATAACAATACCAACTTACCTAATACCGTACGAAAGATAGGGACGAGTATAGGGAGGATTGGTAGGTGCTATCTGGGGAAATCTATCCCAAGCCCATATCACAATCAACGCAGCAAGTCCTCCAATAGCAACACGATCAATGTTGGTGGCCATGCATAGCTCTCGGTAAAAATAACCTAGAACTGCAGAACCCTAACTATATTGACCAGTCAACTCAAAATCTTCAAGTAAAGGCAAGTACCTCACAGATACCCTACTGCTAGAGTGATCAGGAAGCATGAACCCTACAATAAGCCTCAATATATATGCCCTAGCAAACCGAGTAATCTACAGTAGAGTCTGATTATGCATGGCAATATGAATGAAGTGCTCGTCCAACCAGCTCATTTTCAAGAAACTCCCTTCTGATCCTGGTCTCATACCTAAGTTATCTTCCACAATCTGTGCCCAATCACCCTCAGTGGGTGCTATAACAAGTCTCACATCTATGCGTAATCCTAAGATAATAGCAACATCCTGAAGGGTAATAGTACACTCTCCAGGGGGCATGTGGAAGGTGTGCGTCTTGGGCCTCCACCTCTCTACTAATTCAGTAATCAATCTCACATCTACAGGAAGTTGAGACAAGTTAGTCACTCCAACAAAACCCACTAACTCCAGATGTGAAATAATTTCTTCCGGAACACCTTCTAATCCACCGAGAATATTTCGACTCTTCCTAACCCTCAATGTCGAGTGATCACGTTCATCCAAAATATGCTCAGAAATATGAATACTCTGAAACCGAAGAAGTGATGGATCTTGTGGCCCGAAATTAATAACCCTAATTTGTTGTGAAGATGATGTCATCTATACAACAACAAAAAATATTAGTAAAAAAATTTCATTCAATAATAATAATAATAATTTATATTTTACTAACATATTAATAATGCATATTTTATAAAGGTTAAACAAATTTACTAACAAATCATTATCACATTGTAATGACATCAATATATATTCATTACAATATATTATAAATACAAAAATCAGGTATATAAACAAAATTAAATAAATAAATTCTTTTTAAATATACTAACCTATATTCTATACATATTATAATTTATGCAGTATCAGTTTTATTTTAAATAAATAAATTCTTTTTAAATTTTCATACATATAACTAAAGATATATATATTTTTAATTATTCTAAATTTTTATATTAAATTGTATTTAATATAATTTATATAAATAATATTACGTTATTTAAATACAAAACTCTAATTATTAGCATAAAATTAAATTACATTTTAATTTTTTTTCATATTTTCAATTTAAATCTACATAAATTACATTTATTTTCTAATTATATAAATAATATTAAGTTTTTTAAAGTAAAAAATATTATTATTTACATACAAATTTTATATAAATACAAAACTTTAATTACTAGCATAAAATGAAATAATATTTTTATTTTTTCATATTTCCAATTTAAATCTACGTAAATTACATTTAGTTTATAATTATATAAATAATATTACGTTTTTTAAAGTAAAAAGTATTATTATTTACATACAAATTTTATAAATACATAAATTTCATATAAATTATGATTACTGCATTTCAAATTTCACAATTTTAAAATTTTACTTAATTTACAATATAGGTGTAAAAATTATTTATTACAATCAAACTAAGTATAAATTATTATATTTAATTTTATATAATTATTTTATTTAACTCAATTTTTATTATTCTATATTTTAATAAATATCTATAATAATTCCTACAAACAAATTTTATAAATATTAATTTAACCTATCTTCTTAACAATTAATTATAATTTTACATTTTAATCAACTATATCACATTTCATTTTTTCTAAAAAAATATTAATCTATATACAAATAAATAAAAAACTATTTAAATTTTAAATTCTTTTTTACTAACCTTTAATAAACCTTCAGCAAAATCTTCACTCACCCCCACTTAATCATCGAATTACCTGTATATAGTTTTAAAAAAAATTACAATATTATTTGTTGCCATTTATCAGATTTTCCAATTAACAAAATTAAATTAAAAATAATATATAAATACATATTATAGTTCCATACCTCTTAAATTCGTAACAGTATTTGACCCTTCATAATGCAAATCAAAATAAATTTTAAAATTTTTGTCTGCACGACAATGGAGAAGCGAAGATGGAGAAGAGAAAAATGGAAACAAAGAAGGAGGAAGAATGTCGGTCAAGGTTACTGAAGAATTAACCATGTGTCAATGTCTAAATGGTTTTGCCAATGGAAGGGCGAAATAGACTTTTGTCAGTAGCAGCGCAAATCATTTGAGATGTTGCCACATGTATCAAAATCTCCCTCAGTCGTCCATTTTGAATTTATTTTTATTAATTATTTTTAATTTTATTTACTTCCGCTATTCAAATGGCGAAACAATGGTCATTGGAGCCACGTGTCAACATCCAATTAATTGCGCTCTGGCTGTGGCAAAATTTGGTAATTATTTTGCCAATCAGGTCGCGAAACTAATATGTGTTTCACACGTGCTATTATCTTATTTATTTCGTACTTTTTGTGGCAAAATAAATATTAAAAAATTCATAAATAAATTACTTTCACCAGCCGTTATGGCGAAAAATGGATCCATTTGGCAAAAAAACTCCAGATTAGGAAATTGTTTCATATTTGCTATAAAGTGATAAATTATTTTTTAATTTACAATATTAAAATAAATTTGCCAAAACTATTTTATAATAATATTTATAATTTAATTAAAAACTATTTTTAAAATAAAAAATTATAAAAATTACTTTAAAATATTTAAATATAATTTTATATTTTCAAAATTTTAATTTTAATCTCTTTACTGTTATTTTTAATATATATACATATTATAAATTTTATTTGAAAATATTAATATTACATAGTGAAATTAATAACTTATATATTAAATATTTTTTTAAAAATAAGTCGATTAAATGCACACTTAATTAATCAACGACAAGAAATATATATTACTCTTTCAAAATAAATAATTTTAAAAATAATTAATTAATTCATCAAGATAAAAATAACTATATATGATAAAATTATATTTTATTTAAAATATTAATATTAAATAGCTAAATTAATAGTTTATTTATTAAATATTTTAATACAAGTTAAAAATTAAAAGATAATAGTTTTTAAATAAATTGTAATATTTATCATTAATAATATGTTAAACTCAATTCTACAATAAAATTTTATTATGTACTGATAAATTACATTAAAAATTATATAAGAAATAAGGAGTATTTCAATGACATAAATTTTATAATAGATTAATAATATTGAATATTATAATTTTTAATAAAATAGTACTATTTTTAAATTTTTTTTATATATCCCTGGCATTAAAATTTTAAAGTGGTTATAAAAAATCACGAAAAATGTTTATTTAACAATTTAATGTAAAAATAATGAATAGTGTTAATATATTTATTTATTGGTTTAGTGTATCTAACTTTTACATAGAAGATATCGATAGTCTTTCGTCACACACAGTTCTCCACGTCACCAGTCTGTGTCAATGCCACGTAAACTTTGGCTCTCTATCCAATTTGACACCAACCAATATACGCAATCAAGTTTTGCTTCTTCATTGCTCTTTTCTTCGTAAATATATAAAACACAAACATAAACATACAATAAAAACCATTGTTTTCTGCCTCATGTATGCACTGCCCCTCTCTGTTCTGATTATCTCATATCTAAGGTTTGCTTCTCTCTTTTTATCCGTACGATGATGAATTCGATTGCTTTAGCTTTTTATTGTTTTTCCCAAAATAATCATCACTTTGCAACTCAACTAAATCTACTTCTTATTTTTTTGTTTATCTCGTTATCTTATTCATCTTTCATTGAGGTATTAGCTTTATTTTATCAATCAATTTTTTCCTTTGGTAAGAGAGGAGCTCACCCCATTTCTTTCTACCACTGATTAAACAATAATCTTTGATTTGTTGTCCTGTGGGCATACTTGGACTTTTTAAAATAAATTTAATTTAAATTACAAAATTCGTTAATGAAATTTAATCAGCTAAATTCATCCTTCTAAAGTTTCTTGTAGAATTAACATGGTATAATTGCTTGATGTTGTGCTCATCCAGGGGCCGGCTAGTACTATAAGCACCAAGGCAAAATTAGTATTTCACTTGATGGCTATCACCAAGGTTTATGTTGTGTAAGTATGTTTCAACTACTACTTTATTTGCATTTTCGTTCTGATGCATAGTGCACTGCAGATGTTATGTTATAACCCAAGCATTCGTAAATATGATGACATAAAATTGAAATTTATGGTGTTGTGACTATTATGTATAACATCAATTTTTGCAGGTATTACTCCTTGTATGGACATGTAGACACTATGGCAAGAGAAGTGCACAGAGGGGCTGCTGCTGTTGAAGGTGTTGAAGCAACACTATGGCGGGTAATTTTCTAGATTAGTTAGAATGTGCAAGTATCTTGCATGTAATTAGCAAAATTGCAGGCAAATGCAGCTGCAATTGCACTTGCTATGTGTTATAGAGACCTCAAAAACTGCAATATAGTGGCCAAAATTGCGGTTTGAAGACTGCAATTTTTCAGTTCTAAGTTAGGATCCTTTCAATCTCAGTTGGTAGTTTGTTTTGAATATGCTGAAGACAGGTCCCTGAGATGTTTTCGGATGTAATATTGGAAAAGTTGAAGGCCCCTGCTAAACCAAATGATGTAGAAGACATAAGGCCAGAACAACTTCTGGAGGCTGATGGTTTTATCTTTGGTTTTCCTTCTCGTTTTGGCATGATGCCAAGCCAGTTCAAGGCCTTCTTTGATGCCAGTAGTGAGCTATGGGCATCCCAAGCACTGGCAGGAAAACCTGCTGGAATCTTCTGGAGCACCGGTTTCCATGGGGGAGGCCAAGAACTGTCAGCGTAAGTATCCATCCATCCCTACTTCACATTTCCTCACAAAGTGTTTCATTTGGTTCTTCTCACTTAAGCATAAAAGAATACAAACCATTTTACTGTAAATTAACAATAATAAGGCAAATGCTAACCAGTATTCACCAGTGTAAATAAGATACTGATTAAGAAATCAAAAGTGAAAACTATGAAGTGTAATAAAGCACCTCTCTCATAATTTCCAATGTTCTCTTAATGTGATTTTCAATTAAAGTTTCTAGTTGTTGATTCCTTAATTAGTATACTTAGCATATTTGTTAGCAAGACCCTGATCATAGTGAATGAATCAACTTGTCTCTACAATTGTTGATCATACATTGGAATTACTATTTTTACTTAAGACTTGATATTGCTTGGCATGACTTCCTTTTAACTTTACCAAGAACTTCCACTGGTATGAACTATTTCCATCTACAATGTCTCATGATTTGTGCAATCAGCCTATGGGCACTTGATTCTAGTTTTGAGTTCCTTTTTCTGTCATGGTTGCAGATTGACAGCTGTAACTCAATTAGCTCATCATGGAATGCTTTTTGTTCCCCTTGGATACACCTTTGGAAGGGGCATGTTCGAGATGGAAGAGGTTAAAGGAGGCTCCGCATATGGAGCTGGAACTTTTGCAGGCGATGGATCACGCCAACCTACAGAGCTGGAACTGCAACAGGCCTTTTACCAGGGTAAATATGTTGCTGAAATCGCAAAAAAGCTGAAAAACTAACCTTGTGTATAACAAATGCATAATAGATACTATGAACGATGAAGTGCTACATTGTCAAGAACTGATTGTACAGAAGAATTACTTTCATTTATAGACACACATTGAAAGGCCTCTTGTTGCTTTTCGTTTTCTGGGTACTGTGGCTGCAACAATGTATATCTTCTGTTGCCTTTTCAAGAAAACTCCTAAATTATTCTAATAACACAAATCAGAAAACAAAATAAATTATTCTGCATCAACTTTTTAAGAAGTTTTTTCATGTAACTTCTCCAAAAATAGATGTGTATAGGTTATAATTTTAACACAGGGAAATTTTGATCCATTTTATTTCTTTATTTTCTTTTTATTGTAAGTATTTGTTGAAAAGTTTACCTAAACAGGACTAATATCTGTAATATAATATAATCACAATTGTCCAGTGGAGTTCAGCAATTTTCAGCTTGGAAATAGAATCATCTTCTGGTGCCAATTAGTAACCTAAACTCTTCAATTTTGGTCTCTTCTGGAGTGTGGATCTAATTTTTGCCTATAGGCTTGGCCTTATGTTATTGGTGAGATGTAGAATGCATTCAATGATAGCCAAAACCTTTTATTCTGTTCTATTTAGTGGTTTATACCCAAATTTCTGGAAAAGAGAACCGCAAATGAGTATTACTGATGAGATTAAGAAGCTGTTTAGTATTTTATTTTTTATTTTTTTTGTTAACTTTTGATATTGTTGTAAGCAGAACAAAAAGTTGTTCTCTGGTTTATTAAGTAATAAATTTTAAGACTTTTTTTCTTTTACTTCATCTGTTTTTTTCTCTTTCCCATGACCATATTTTCCTACACACGTAAACATTACTCGTATATCCAACATCGAAAGTTAAATGTATATTAAAAATTTAAAAATATATTAATTTGTAATAAAAATATTAAAAACAGAATAATTTATTTAAAAATTATTAAAAATCTATTTATATGTGCGTATTATTAACTAGACGCAAACTCACTTCTACCCACTGTTAAATCAAAATCTAATTACTATCTTCAATTTAAATCCAGTTAACCTCTTGTGGGTGAAAGCTTTTTGTCAAGACATATTGTCTTAATAAATTTATTAATATTATTACTTTAAGGGACGTAGAATTTTTATATAATGTAATACCATCAATTTAGAAATTTCTTTTAATTTTTTTTAAATGAAACTAATTTAAAACTTATGAAACAAAAAGTAACCTACATTAAATATAAAGGAGTTAACGCTAACATTAAATAGTGTAATTACACACCTGTCGGTGTCTCCAGCTGTAATATTATAATAGCATGTTGATGATCAGTGCACACTATTATTATTATTACTATTATTATTATTATTATTATGTGAAAATTATTTGTTACTTTCTAATTATGTCTTTTTAATCTTATGCTTTGTTTGATAAAAAAGAATGAAGTAAAAAAACACAAATAAAGATTTATTTTTATTTATTTAGTCGAATAAAAAAATAGAAATTATTTTCAGGAACAAATTTTTTCTTTATAATTATTTTTCTTCTGTTTATTGTCTTGTTCCCGTACCCTACCAAACAGATGGATCATGGATAGTTTGTTTTTTTCTTTGGAACTTCCTGAATTTTCTATGCAGCTAAAAGTAATTGATTACACGTCTACACCATTAGTTCTCATTTCCCATCTGCATTTATCTTTTACAATGAAATATCAAATTGAAGTTTAAATCTTTAATCAAACTCACAAATAGCTACACCTCATAAGGCAACAGCTAAACAGAAACTTCCTCTGTTCAAAGTTCCACCATACAGTAAAATCAATGGTTGAGATGAAGGAGAAATCAGAACTAATCTTCTTTCCCTTACCAAGTATTGGCCACTTAGCTTCAGCCCTCCAATTAGCACAACTCTTAATCAAAAGTGACAACCATCTTTCCATCACAGTCCTCTCTATCAAGCTCCCTTACGCTCCCTCCTCAGATGAATACATCAAATCAATCACAACATCACAACCTCAAATCAAACTCATTGATCTACCTCGTGTACAACCACCTCCACAGGAGCTATTGAAATCACTACCATACTACCTCTTGACCTTCATGCAAGACCTCATACCTCATGTTAAAGCCACAGTGCAAAACATTCTATCAACTTATTCAAATCCAGTTATTGGGTTAGTCCTAGATCTTTTCTGTGTTCACATGATTGATGTGGGAAATGAACTGGGTATTCCTTCTTTTTTGTTTATGCCCTCTAATGTAGGATACTTGAGTCTCTTTCTTTCTCTCCAGAAACGCCAAATTGATGATGTATTCAATGATTCTGATCCTGAATTGTTGCTTCCGGGTTTCGCCAATCTAGTTCCTTCAAGCGTTTTGCCTAATGCTGTTTTTAGCAAAGATGGTGGATATGTTGCCTATTACAAGCTTGCTCAAAGGTTCAAAGACGCCAAAGGGATTATTATTAATACCTTTTCAGAGTTGGAGAAATACGCTATTGATGCATTATCTCATGGTGAAACCCCTCCTATCTATGCTGTTGGTCCTTTGATTGATCTCAAAGTCAAAGGTAATTTAGACCAAGCCAAGCATGACAAAATATTGAAATGGCTAGATGAACAACCACCTTGTTCTGTTGTGTATCTATGTTTTGGTAGTAGGGCAAGCTTTGATCCATCTCAAACAAGAGAAATAGCACTAGGACTTCAGCATTGTGGGGTTAAGTTCTTGTGGGCTATGCATTCTCCACCAATTAGAGACAATGCAGGGAGAACCTTACCTGAAGGGTTCTTAGAATGGATGGAAGGTAAGGGAATGTTATGTGAATGGGCACCCCAGGTGGAGGCTTTGGCCCATAGAGCCATTGGTGGGTTTGTATCTCATTGTGGGTGGAACTCTATTTTGGAAAGTTTGTGGTTTGGAGTACCTATATTGACATGGCCTATCTATGCAGAACAACAATTGAATGCTTTTAGAATGGTGAAGGAATTGGGATTAGCAGTGGAGTTGAGATTGGATTACAGAACTGGTGGTGATCTTGTAATGGCAGAGGAGGTAGTGAAAGGGGTGAAAAAACTGATGAATAGAGATAATGGAGTGCACAAGAAGGTGGAAGAGATTAAAGAGATAGCTAGGAAAGCTGTTCTAAGTGGTGGGTCTTCTTTCATTTCTGTTGGGAAACTTATTGATAATATGACATGTAGCAATTGATGAATGTCGCTTTTTTATCTCATGGATGGGTTGCCCCTTTCTTTGAATCAATGAATAAATAAGTTAAATTATTTTAGTTACTATAGTTATGATTGGAAGGCACTAATTGTATAAGCAAGATGTGGTTGTAACAAGACTGTTGGCTTAATGTAAGTTGAAAATTCAAATTGCTGGTGCATAGTGGCTTAGTTATTTTAGTATTAACCATGAAAAATTTTCTGATAAACCGGGGATTCTTTTGGCTCCTTCACTTGTCTTAAATATTACTAATTTATGTGGGGTGATTTCTTCAGTCGTGCAAATTCTGTTGAAGAAAATCGTTGAAGTACTGAATTTGGAGTTTCAATACAGGTCTTAGATATGACTCCAATATTAAATGCAAAGTTGAAGCTGATGGAAGCATAAAACTAATGACTTCACCAAACACTCCCAAGTGACACCTACTTGAACATGATCAATTTGATTGTCAAGCACATATAAACACTTGAACGGAGTTGAAGGAAGTCACTGTAAACATGGATAAAACGCAGAAGTTACAATTAGTTACGTTGAAATAAATTTAGATTCATCCCCATGTTAATGTGAAACCAAACACTGCAATCTTGGTGCAGCTCTCTTCTTTCAATAGTTTTTTGCTGCAAGTCAGTGTTCTGGGTGATAATAGTCTTGGAAATTTCTTATAACTATTGTTGGATATTCCGCTTGATCCGGTCAAGTTTATTTTAGAAATTTTGGTTAGATTATGTTATTTATTTTGAACAAGTGAAATATTTATATATAATATTTTTTACATTAGTTTAAGTTTAAAAATAAAAAAAAAAATCTTGTCATATATATATATATAAGAAAAGATTTTCTTACACCATCGATCGATCTAGTACTGGTAGCCTTTGCAGGTAGTTCGAACAACGAGATTGTTATATATATATATAAATGACTTAATTAATAAGAAATTCTTTAGTTAATAAATATATAAAATACAGATTATTTATTTTATGTCATTTTTTCTTTTTATTATAAAAATTGTGATGAAAACAGGAGTAGGCCTTATTGAGAGCGGGGAGGAACTATGGTAACCCAATTTTTTTAATATCAATCTGTTTATATACTAAAACAAATTTGGCACCCCGGTATCAATAAATTCACCGCTAGTAACTCTAAGTAGTTAGGGCACTAGTTAAATAATTGTAGTTTTATGTTTTTTTAACAAAATATTTCTAACTTAATCATTGCCCGTAAGCACTTCAGCACTGATTAGCATTTTCTCCCTCTAAAATAGCTTTACAAAGTTAACTGATTAATATTATAAATTAACGTAAAACTTTATCAATTTAAGTTAACTGATTAATATTTGTTTTAATTTTATAAAAAATTAAAAAATAAGAGCATATAAAATTTCAATAAGATATAAAAATGAATGGATACAAAATTTTGACTGTGAAAGTGAGATATTGTGGGCTGAATGCGCTTTAATTGAAAGAATACGTCAACTTGTCAAAGACGGATCATCCACGACTCCACGAGCATTCCAAATAATTGGATGCCAGCAAACGGTATCTAATCACAAGTTTGCTTTGTGTCATTTTTCCACACTCGCTAGACATTTCCACATTCTGGTGGGATACTAAAAGTTAAGAGCCAAAAGTGAAACATATAAATCCAAACACTCATTATTATCTCAGCACAGAGAAAATGGGAAGCACTGAGATGAGTAAACAAGCAGAGTTGATCTTCATTCCCTCACCGGGAATTGGCCATTTGACGTCAACTCTGGAATTTGTTCAGCTTCTAATCAACCGTTACAACCATCTTTCTGTCACAATCCTCTGCATTAAGTTCCCTTTAACACCCTTTTCAGACTCTTACATTAGATCAGTGTTAGCCTCAAAACCTCAAATCAAACTCATTGATCTCCCTCAAGTAGAACCACCTCAATTTGACATAACGAAGTCTCCAGAATACTACATCTGGACCTTCATGGAGAGCGTCAAACCCCATGTCGAAGCCACCTTGCATAGCATTGTATCATCGTCTTCTGAGTCAAACCCAGTTGTTGGATTAGTCTTAGATTTCTTTTGTCTCTCCATGGTTGATGTGGGAAATGAACTGGGTATCCCTTCTTATTTGTTTTTGACATCAGGTGTTGGGTTTTTAAGTCTCGCGCTTTCCCTTCCCAAACGTCAAATTGAGGATGTTTTCAATGATTCTGATCCTGAGTTGTTGCTTCCTGGTTTCCCAGATCCAGTTCCTCCAAGTGTTTTGCCTGATGCTTGTTTTAACAAAGATGGTGGATATTTTGCCTATTACAAGCTTGCTCAGAGGCTCAGAGACACCAAAGGGATTATTGTTAATACTTTTTCTGAGTTTGAGCAGTGTGGTGTTGATGCATTATCTGATGGTGAAACCCCTCCTATCTTTACTGTTGGTCCTTTGATTGATCCAAATCCCATTCCTAACCCAAATTTAGACAAAGCCCAGCATGACAAAATACTGAAATGGCTAGATGAGCAGCCACCTTCTTCTGTGGTTTTTGTATGTTTTGGGAGCATGGGAAGATTTGATCCATCTCAAACAAGAGAAATAGCACTGGCACTTCAGCGTAGCGGAGTTAAGTTCTTGTGGGCTATGCGTGCTCCACCAACCACAGAAAATGCAGAGAAAAGCTTACCAGAGGGGTTTTTGGAATGGATGGAAGGTAGGGGGATGCTATGTGGGTGGGCACCCCAGGTGGAGGTTCTGGCCCACAAAGCCATTGGTGGCTTTTTATCTCACTGTGGGTGGAACTCTATTTTGGAAAGCTTGTGGTTTGGGGTACCAATTTTGACATGGCCTCTCTATGCAGAACAACAGATGAATGCTTTTATGATGAGAGAATTTGGACTAGCAGTGGAGCTGAGAGTGGACTATAGGATCGGTAGGGACTTTGTAAAGGCAGAGGAGATAGAGAAAGGGCTGAAACAATTGATGGACAGAGATAATACCGTGCACAAAAAGGTGCAAGAGATGAAAGAGATGGCTAGGAAAGCTGTCCTCAAGGGTGGGTCTTCTTTCATTTCTTTTGAAAAACTTATTGATAATATGATGGTGCAGGAACTTATAATATAGTTGTATTTCATGGATGGAGTTGCTCCTTTCTTGGAATAATTTTACATGAAGAAGTCTTAGTGTTAGTGACTCATGTATTTCGTAGATGGAGTTGCTCCTTTCTTGGAATAATTTTACATGAAGAAGTCTTAATAATTTTACATGAAGAAGTCTCAGTGTTAGTGACTCATGTATTTCATAGATGGAGTTGCTCCTTTCTTGGAATAATTTTATATGAAGAAGTCTTAGTGTTAGTGACTCAGACATATGAAAGTTGATATTTCTTTATGTATTTTAATATTCTCCCTTCTCTTATAATAAGTGTATTGGTTTAAAAGCATTATTTTTGCATAAGTAATTTATATTTGAGTCTAAGCCATTGATGGAAGCAGTTTAAAAATAGATGGCTAAAATTAAAAGTTAATAAATGCAAAGAAGAGTTATGAGTGAGGCAAATGAAGAGAGATAATAACGTAAAACTGACATTTTGAATTCTGCATAAACTAATCTATATAATATAAAACATGCATAAATTTTTTAAATTTTTTGCATAAACCAATCTGCAGAGACCAACACATGAGTGTATAAAGTTCAAAATACAGAATTTTAATATCAATGCATTGTATAATTTTAAAATTGTATGTAATTAAGTCTAATTTATTATTTTTAAAATTTAAATATACAAACATGTGTTTATGAAAATGGAGTTAGGTAGAGATTAAAATCTGGTCTTTCCTCGTTGGAACTTAATATGTGGTCTTTCTTCGTTGGAACTTAATATGTGGTCTTTCCTCGTTCTTCTCGGTGACTTCCTTCACAATTTCATCTGAATCGAATGCTCTGCCTTATCAATCGAAACTGTTTCAATTTGTATAACAAAAAATAAGCTGAGATATGGCCGAAAAAATTTCATTGAAAAGTGAAAGACCTCCGAGATAACTGACATAGAAAATTATTTTTTTACTAGCTACTTATATATCGAATCTCTCATAAAGTTAATGTAAAAAGTATTTTTTTTAAAAAAATAACTTTCTATATTGATTCTTTGAAAAGAACTAATGTAGAAAGTTATTGTTTTATGCAGTAGTTACTTCTACATCAATTTTGTTGTTCAACTAATGTAAAAGATCTCAACCCCATTCCCAACTTAAACCTGTATAAGTTGTACATTTGTTCAATTCTATAACCAATGCTAAAACCTTTATGTATAATTTTAAAAGAATGCAATACACGACATCAGGTATGTCCTATAGGCACTATTAAATGATGAAAGCGTAGATTTGCATGTATTACTATTTTTAACACCTTAGTTCATATCACATTTTATTGCATTTGTACACCATAAATGGCTCCATCTTTGCAAAAGAAAGGTAGAAGTGCATAAACTATCCTACCATTGCTGAACATTGTCTTTTTTTATTTTTTGTTTTTGATATTTTTTTTGTAAATGTTGTACCTACATTGCCCAAATCTGCTACTTTGCTCATCTAGCCAGTCCATAGAGCTTTTGAAAATGCAGTACACCTAGATAAATTAGAAATCTAAATACAGAGGTTAAATGAGCATCTCACACTTAAAAGGTGCCCCACATAGGTCTTCCCCAAACTCCCCAATTAACTAAGGTAAACAACATAAAGAAAACACTAATTTCTATACTGGTTCCAGAAGAGCAAAGAAAAAGGAAATATTTTGTTAATGAGAATAAGTAAGTGTTTATAGCCGTAGCAATATAAAAAAGAAACTCACCTGAGCCGCAAGAACACGTACATTGAGAATATGAGAATTTTTACCTTATTAAAAATTAGGAAGGTTTCACAGTGACCACAATATTGAATTTACTAATATATCCTTTCAAACATATTATTTATATCACCGGTTATCTCTCTTTCATTTTTTACAGTTAGATTTTCATTAACAGTTCATAATGTTTCATTACTTTTTAAAAAGACATATATTCCTTAACTATTATAAAAGAAGGAAAGATATTAGAATTCACCGTTATTTCAAGAAACATGTCTATCACTCCACTTAGAGAACATGTTGACTGAATATATGTTGAAAATTGTAGTTCTTGCCATTTGTATGTGTAATAAATTTACTTAACCAATTGTTTACAATGAATCTCATAATTAGTAAACAACTAAATTTAATATAAACTATAAGAGTTCCATTTTAATGAGAACTATATTTAGATCTAGTCAACATACCTAATTGTTCATAAGAATTTAGTTTTGGGAAGTCTTTCAATCTCTTTCTTAATTTTTTTTATTTTCAATAAAATCTCTAGTACAAACTTTTTTTTGCAGTTGTTTCACAAGCCTTTTCTCTGGTCTAATTAGTAACCGATTTTTGACTAACTCGTGCTAGAGATCAGGCATTTGAACGTAATTTTATATAAAATAATCTTTAAATTTCCTTTGCAATTCAATCAATTTACTCACATAAGCAAAATAGCTGAATAAAACTAAATTTCTTTTACCTCAATCAAATTAAATTGTTGATAACTGTTGATAATCGTTAATAATCACTTCCAAATATTCTTGATGTTTTTCACATATTTCCTCATTTTTTGTTACTTGAATTTAGATTCCTATACTTGAAATATTTCAACTTTTTATGAAGTAAATTATCTTTTCGACAATTTATTAGAAACACATAAAAAATACCTCCTTTTTGACAAATTTTGGCATTTTTGTGTCTTGAATTATGAAACTATCAAAATTCTTCAAAATATTATCCTTTCGACTAAATGTAAGATTATTCTATTCGTCCTTTTGAAAATTTGCAAAAAGCTTAATCTTTTCAACAAAAAAACCTAAAGTTTTTTGTTTCTCCCTTATTTGACAATATTTGTCAAAATGTGGAGTTTTATTATCATATCAATTTTAGTAAAAAATGTGTCCTTTCATTTATCTAATAGTGACAAATTTTTTTAGATTAAGTATCGAATTTCTTCTTTCAAGAGCCATCACCAACTTTGTTAAACACAAAGCTCTGTAAATAAATAAAAAAATTATTTTTTCAAACATCAATTCTTTCATTTTTGTTCTATGTTTTCTTTGAATGATTTATGAGATACTATTTATTCATCTCTAAAGTTAGGAAATAAAATGGATTAAGCTTCATCAATACCAAAATGATGACTATCAAAGATAAAAAAAAAAAATAACTTCAACTTCTAAATTGTCGTAACTTTGATTTCAAGTAAAATTAAAACCAACTTGTGTGTGGGTATTTGTTCAGTTGGCAAGTGTATCTGTCAAAAAGTAATAAAGAGTTCTTAAATTAAGTTTCTAAATTATCGTCTCATAAGAATTATTTTCTAACTACTAAGAATTTTCTAATTCACAGGGCATTCCTCCAAACTGTGTAAAATTTTGAACAATAGTGATTAAGGCTGGCTTTAATTCAAAATTGTTGGCTTCTACATTAGGAGTTGTGATGTTTCCAAAAGTACCTCTAGTAGTAGATGTCATGTAGTTTTGAATCAATCTCTTTTCTTCTGTCATTTTTTGTTGTCTCAACTCTTTTGTTTGTCTTTACACAATTCTTTCGATCTCAGGATCAAATAGACAAACTGTAGAATACTTAGAACGAGTGAACATGCACTGAGAAAAGATTTTTTTAAAATTATAAAAAAATAAAAACAAAAATAAAAAAATGAGAATAAAAAAAATTAAAATTAAAACAACAAAACAAATAATTAAAATAAAATAAAACAAGAATTGTTCAAATCAATTAAATATAATATTTTCTTAATATTGGTAGAACAATCTCTAACAATTAGGTCAAAAACTTATTCGGTGGGTAAGTGTACTTATCGAGAAGAAATAAAAGATTCTTAAATTAAGTTCTTGAATTATTCCACAAGGATTATTTTTCAATTAATAAGAATTTTTTAATTCAATTATTTGAGCTTAAAAGATATAAAATTAATTAAAACAAGAATTTAATTATAACATCAATTGTAAAATTAAGAACAAGAGACATAATGCACATTTTGGTTGAACTTATTAGAGAAAAACCTAAAGCATGTAGATTTTTTCATTCAATCTTTTATGTTATTTTTTTTTTGTTTAACTCTAAATTCGATTTTTATGTGATTACTAATCATTCATACAAATATTATCAATACTTAATGGTCATAAAATATTAACATTCTTTTTTCTAAATTAACATTCACAATAGTCATACAAGATATTAATTCAAGAAAGTATAAAAGTACATATGAACTTGTTAATTTAATAATGATTGAAAGAAAAATATTGGTTTGGTCCACCTAATCCTTTATTTCGTTTTATCCTATAAATTCATTAACTAATCGAAGTACGATCGCTTGATAATATAATTAATTAGGATTTTACAGTTATACGCAATAGAATAAACACTAATCACATATAGAAATCAAACATAGATTAAAATTTTAAAATCTCATAAATTCATGAACAATAATTCTCGTAACCCTAACTATGAACGTAGTTACTCATGCTATAGAAAAAAAAAAAACTAAAACAATTATAAACAAAGTCAAAGAGAAAAATAAACTAGCATGAGATAAGTTTTCAGTCTTCAAGTACGGTTGCTTGAAACTTCAACTCCCGCCAAGAGTATGTTAAAGATCATATGCAAGAGAGACGAGATGAAAGGTGTATCAAAAAAATAAAAGACAAGATGTCAAATATAATACATGAGGTCTCTCTTTAATAGAGTTTAAAAATTCTAAAACTCTTTATAATTGGGTTTCCTGTAAATGAACACGGCTATAAGCAAGACAGTGCATGAACTTGAAGTACTCTGGTGTTTCTTGAAAGGATTTGGGCATGCTAACTATTGTGAAGTTTTAATTTTTCATCAATTTGAGCTTAAAACATATCCAAAATTTATTTGTGGCCTTTTTATACTAAAATACACAATTAATATATAAATTAATATAAAATTTAAATAAAATAAAGATCAAATATAAATATATTAGCTGTAAAGGATGAATTAAATACAAGCTTATTAGTATTTTTCTTTTCGGCAGTATTTGTTGCAAGAGTAAAACCTACCTGTGTGTTGTGTGTTGTGTGTTGGTATTCTCTTTTCAACGGAGATGAATGTATTTGTTGTATAATGTCAACCAAGACGCACCAGCTCAAGTGTAATTATTGAAAAATAAATAGTGTACGACTGATGCCAAATAAACTCTTGCAATAGACTCAACCCAAGAGAAAGACCACCACTTTATCATCACTTATGTGATGTACTTCAGTTGATGTCAAGTGCCGTTTATCTTGTGAGCCATGCGAATTTTTGCCCCTGAAAAATCTTCGGTCCATATGGGAGAAAGAACCAAATTGTCAAATAATGAGGGCAGTGCCAACGAACTCGATGTTCCCTCGGTCAAATCCTCCATTTATGTTTAAGGAGTTCCTGAAAGACATTTTAAACGACATTGATGAGTGCTGCATATATTTTTGTCTCAATAAACTACTCCAAGTCAACATTTATAAAATGACCAACAAAATGACCATGAAAATACTACCACTGCATCACTTTTCTTATTATCAAATATAGCTAAACCACATTTATATATTTTTTAAATATACTACTAATTCTCACTGTTTATTTCACATAAAATCAATAGAAATTAGTTTTATAATTTTATACTTTTATCTTTTATTTCATTTGTTACGTTAATTATTTTATTTTATACTTTTTCTTTTTTCCTTCTTGTATCTTGTATTATATAAATATAATATAATCAACACAGAGTCATCAACTTAGAAAAAAAATATTTTCTTCAAGTGTAATTTCAGCTATAACATTTTTCATAAATAAAATATATCAGAATTTTATATAATTAGTATAGAAACTCGTGAAATACATATATATTTTATTTTAATATATATATATATATATATATAATAATTAAAGAAATAAAAATTATACTTTTTATAAATATAAAGGCAAAATAAAAAAGGAGCCAAAAGTCATTGGTAAAAGTTATTTTTGTTATATAGTTATGGAGCTCATTTACTTATAATAATTAATAAGAAAATACTATAAATATTATTATATTTGACAATTTTTTCATGAAACTCTAATAGTATGGACGCTCGTTTTGTTTTAAATGTTTACTTTTTGTTATTATTATTTTAAATTTATTACTTAATAATTTTCACAAAATTGTGTACAATTAATATAAATTAACTTAATTATATTTAGTGACTCCAGAATGAAAACACCATGACGCTTTATACTAAGAAGTGGAAGGCAAGAAATAACTGAACACCAATAAAAGTCAAATTAAGTGGATTACCTAGTTGTACCCAGAAAAGTTAAAAAAGAAAGTAGATTACCTGCTCTTGATTATTAATCATTAGTTAATTGTGACAACACACCACTCACCAGCACGTTAAAAAAGTATTAATTTTAATTTCTCAACACCTGAGGTTTAATATTCAAATAAAAATGATGCCTTACCTTTTGCTTCTGTTGTGAAAAAAGTCACATCACATGCGATGATGCGAAGAAGAAATCCTCTCTTCAAATGTGTGAGTTGATGGGTCAATTTAGGTGGAACCGCTGCTTTCAAATCGACTCAAGACTCAAGCGCAAGTAGATTTCTCTCGAGTATAAACTTTAATTATTTTAAAGATTTTTTAATATTAAAATCTCCCTTTTCGATTCAAATCTATAATTGTTTTAATTTACCCTTTTATTGAAAATATTTATATTTACATTTCTTATTTAAATCACTCAAAACGCTTGCTACTTTTCTCTAAAATTAGCATTATTTATACATCATACGCTTTACTTATTTCGAAAAAAATATTTAGCTCTCTTTATATGGTTCTTACATATTAACGTTTATTCTTTTTTTTTTAAATTGTACATATTATTTATATGTATGATTAATATTTAAAACATCAATTTTGAATCTTTTATATTAAAATATTTTTAAATAATTATTATTCAAAATATGAGAACATTAACGTGAAGATACTATTGAAATCGTTTATATCACAAGAATATTCGTTTTTTATTTTCAGTTAAATAAAATAAGAATATTTTAATTGTGTAAGCGTAATTCATATTTTATTACACCAAAAAAATACTTATGGAATTATTCGTGTTAGCCAATCACACTCAACTCATTTTTATACTTAGCGCTAATCGAGTTTTATAAAACTAAGATTTAAAGGATTAATTGAAAGGGAAAAAAAAATGAAAGAAAGAAGGAAAACTCTTGTTTAGGGTTTAGGGTTGTTTTCCTTTCCTAGCAATGCACAACTTTAACAGATGTCCCTTGTCAATCACAAATCACGACTTTGTGCAATTCACTCAAAAAATAATAAAAATAAAGAATTTGATTCTTTTAAAGTAAAAAAATATAAAATAAAAATTATTTATTATTAATTTAAGATTAATTATGTTTATAAACTACCTAATTTTAAAAAACTCAAATAAATTGTTTTATATTATAAATTAACGTAAAACTTTATCAATTTAAGTTAACTGATTAATATTTGTTTTAATTTTATAAAAATTTAAAAAAATAAAAGCATATAATATTTCAATAAGATATAAAAATGAATGGATACAAAATTTTGAATGTGAAAGTGAGATATTGTGAGCTGAATACGCTTTAATTGAAAGAATACGTCAACTTGTCAAAGACGGATCATCCACGACTCCACGAGCATTCCAAATAATTGGATGCCAGCAAATGGTATCTAATCACAAGTTTGCTTTGTGTCATTTTTCCACACTCGCTAGACATTTCCACATTGTGGTGGGATATTATAAGTAAAGAGCCAAAAGTGAAACATATAAATCCAAACACACATTATTATCTCAGCACAGAGAAAATGGGAAGCACTGAGATGAGTAAACAAGCAGAGTTGATCTTCATTCCCTCACCGGGAATTGGCCATTTGACGTCAACTCTGGAATTTGTTCAGCTTCTAATCAACCGTTGCAACCATCTTTCTGTCACAATTCTCTGTATTAAGTTCCCTTTAACACCCTTTTCAGACTCTCACATTAGATCAGTGTTAGCCTCAAAACCTCAAATCAAACTCATTGATCTCCCTCAAGTAGAACCACCTCAATTTGACATAACGAAGTCTACAGAATACTACATCTGGACCTTCATGGAGAACGTCAAACCCCATGTCAAAGCCACCTTGCATAGCATTGTATCATCGTATTCTGAGTCAAACCCAGTTGTTGGATTGGTCTTAGATTTCTTTTGTCTCTCCATGGTTGATGTGGGAAATGAACTGGGTATCCCTTCTTATATGTTTTTGACATCAGGTGTTGGGTTTTTAAGTCTCGCTCTTTCCCTTCCCAAACGTCAAATTGAGGATGTTTTCAATGATTCTGATCCTGAGTTGTTACTTCCTGGTTTCCCAGATCCAGTTCCTCCAAGTGTTTTGCCTGATGCTTGTTTTAACAAAGATGGTGGATATTTTTCCTATTACAAGCTTGCTCAGAGGTTCAGAGACACCAAAGGGATTATTGTTAATACTTTTTCAGAGTTTGAGCAGTGTGGTGTTGATGCATTATCTGATGGTGAAACCCCTCCTATCTATACTGTTGGTCCTTTGATTGATCTGAATCCCATTCCTAACCCAAATTTAGACAAAGCCCAGCATGACAAAATACTGAAATGGCTAGATGAGCAGCCACCTTCTTCTGTGGTTTTTGTATGTTTTGGGAGCATGGGAAGATTTGGTCCATCTCAAACAAGAGAAATAGCACTGGCACTTCAGCGTAGCGGAGTTAAGTTCTTGTGGGCTATGCGTGCTCCACCAACCACAGAAAATGCAGAGAAAAGCTTACCAGAAGGGTTTTTGGAATGGATGGAAGGTAGGGGGATGCTATGTGGGTGGGCACCCCAGGTGGAGGTTCTGGCCCACAAAGCCATTGGTGGCTTTTTATCTCACTGTGGGTGGAACTCTATTTTGGAAAGCTTGTGGTTTGGGGTACCAATTTTGACATGGCCTATCTATGCAGAACAACAGCTGAATGCTTTGATGATGAGAGAATTTGGACTAGCAGTGGAGCTGAGAGTGGACTATAGGATCGGTAGGGACTTTGTAAAGGCAGAGGAGATAGAGAAAGGGCTGAAACAATTGATGGACAGAGATAATACAGTGCACAAAAAGGTGCAAGAGATGAAAGAGATGGCTAGGAAAGCTGTCCTTAAAGGTGGGTCTTCTTTCATTTCTGTTGAAAAACTTATTGATAATATGATGGTGCAGGAACTTATAATATAGTGTATTTCATAGATGGAGTTGCTCCTTTCTTGGAATGATAGTATATGAAGAAGTCTTAGTGTTGGTGACTCAGTAATTAGGACCTATGAAAGTTGTTATGTCAAGAAACATGTCTATCTCTCCACTGAGAGAACATGTTTACTGAATATATGTTGAAAATTGCAGTTGTAGTAGTTTGTGTGTGATAAATTTACTTAACCAATTCTTTCTTTTCTGTTCAATGTTTTCTCTGTATGGCTCATGCCATACTTTTTATTCATATATGATGTTAGAAAATAAAATGGATTAAGCTCCATCAATACCAAAATGATGACTATCAAAGATAAAAAAATAAAAATAACTTCACCTTTTAAATTGCCGTAACTTCGATTTTAAGTAAAATTAAAACCTACTTGTGTGAGGGTATTCTCTCTTCAGCAGAGATGGGTGTATTTGTTGCAAAAGTAAAACCAACCTGTGTGTCTGTATTCTCTTTTCAGCAGAGATACGTATTTGTTGTATAATGTCAACCAAGACGCACCAGCTCAGGCGTAATTATTGAAAAATAAAGAGAGTACGACTGAGCCAAATAAACTCTTGCAATAGACTCGGCCCAGGAGAGAAATCACAATTTTATCACCAGTTAAAACTCTTGTGATGTAGTTCACTTGATGTCAAGTGCCATTTATCTTGTGAGCCGTGCGAATTTTCGCCCCTGAAAAATCTCCGGTCCAAATGGGAGAAAGAACCAAATTGTCAAATAATAAGGACAGTGCCAACGAACTCGATGTTCCCTCGGTCAAATCCTCAATTTATGTTCTAGGAGTTAGAGAGACGTTTTAAAAGGCATTGACGAGCGCTGCTTATATTTTTGTCACAAAAAATAACTCCAAGTCAAAATTTATAAAATGTGAATGAAAATAAGATTAAAAATCCCCACAACCAAGCGTAAAACTCTACTGTACTTGGAATCATAATTTGGCGTCTTGTGGACCAGAACCGTAAAAATTGAGAGCTTCGATATGCCGATGCTTTTCATGTTTGCTAGCTGTCGAAAAAGATAGAATCACTGATAGATATAGACCAAATATATTATTCATGGTGCATTAGCATTGATAGTCGGAGACCGTTGAACCAAACAAAATATTTATCAAACCAACCGCACCATATGGAAAATTATCACCACTCTCGTATTTAAATCATATAACAAACAAAATGACCATGGAAATATTAGCACTGCATCACTTTTCTGATTATCAAATATAGCTCAAATTAAACTAGTACTCATTTCTCTCCACAAACAAAGAAGGAATAACATGCTCATACCCAGACCTCAAATACTGCCCCTTTACCTTCTTGAACTTTTCTCTCCTCTCCTGTCAAAATCATATCTTACTTTTGACTCTCTTCGATCACTATCATTTATATATGATCTGTTATCTTGTTTCCTATCATAATCTTCTCTTGACCTTGGTGCACATTCATCTTCAGGGTGCTTTCGTGATCTCCTGTCTTCCCTGTTACTATGAGGTTCTCTTGATTTCCTTCCAAAATCATCATCATCCTGCCTCCAGGGTCTTTGATCATCCCTTATAGTTATATCAGAACCTCTTGACTTGTGTTCAAACTCAGTATCATCTGGCTTTATTGATCTCTTGCCTTCCCCTCTGTTATGATCTTTTGACTCAGGTTCCATACCATTATAATCATTCCTTCTTGATCTTTTTTCTTCCCTCCTATATTGCTCTTCTCTCGACCTGTGTTCAAATTTGTCACCTTCATGCCTTCTTGATCTCTTTTCTTCTCTTCTACTGTTATTTTCTCTTCCCTCACATCTATCATCGTCATAATGCTGCCGCAATGTCTTCTCTCTTCTATCACTTTTCTTTGGTTGGCTGTCTAATCCAATGTCATGCCCATGGGCTCTAGAATGTGAATCGCTGTCTCTAGTTTCTGGAAAAAGATTTGATGGGTTGCTGCCATATTTTCTCTCTTTTTTGGGACCCTCATATTTGTCATGACCCCATTTTGAACTGTCTTCCTCTTGACCCCAACCTGTATTTGCAGCTCTCTGGATAAAGACAACAAAGACAGTCAAGAACTCAAAGTCAAAACATACAAAGGGATAGCTGGATAAACCATCTGCATTTAAGTTTTCATTCTTAAATTCAGCACATTTTATAACATCAACAACTTCTTCAAAAGTTCAACCATATGCAAAACACGTGAGGAGAAACTATACAAAGAATAGAACAGAGATGATAAAGCAGCAGCAAACAAGTATGCATAAATTTTGCTCCGCTTCCCTCAGATATAGTTAAATTACAATGCCCTCCCCTCTAACTTCATTAATTACATTTCCCTCCTCTGACAGATGAATATGGGCTACACTCAAGCCCATGTTAATATAAACAAACCTCTTATTGGTGGTGAACAACTAAATAGTATGGATAAAGAAAACATTCATTCTATGACAGTCATTTATGAAATAAAGAAAACATTACCAGTAATGGAAATTAAAGAATAATTTAAATTGATTATATAAAAATCATAATTTCATTTCCTTTCTCTGCAACTTGCGTCACCAGCAACTAATTTTAAGCACAAGGGTATTAATCTTAGGACCATAGAAAATTAAACAATTTTAAACACTCACACTATCCGCTTTGGAAATTCATCAAGAATTGTTAATTCAACTGCTTAAATCCCAGATTTGATTGTGGAGGTTTAAAACTAGTTGTCAATGATTCCAACAATGACAACAAGTAGGGGGAAAATCCCTGAGACGCTCATTCATAATAAATTAGACTAAAGTGTAAATATATTCATGCCCCCAAGAAGTGGAGAGTGATTTTTAACACTAAAGATGAATGCAGTGTTAATTGCCGAGTGATTTTTAACACTGGAGATGAATCCAGTGTTAATAAGAGTGTAATTTACTCAATATTCTAACAACGGAATGACAAAGAAAAATGAAAGCAAATTTCAAGTTAAAACTTAACACTAGAGATGAATGCAGTTTTGATCTTTGAATCATAATCAAAACTTGAATGCAATTCAATTCCAATTCTGTTGAGACTTGAGACTGAAATCACTTTTATTATTATAGTTAGAAATGCATTAAGAATTAGGATATAGAATTAAAATTTGTATTCTCATTTAAACTTTACCATACATGCTGATGCATGCATACTATATAGTTTGAAATTATGATTTTTATATAATCAATTTAAATGATTCTTTAATTTCCATTACCTTTATTTCATAAATGACTGTCATAGAATGAGGCCACAGCAAGAGCAGGAAAAATAAATCCTGACAGCAAGCCTAGCAAACATCAAGCAGAAACAAATATCTGATGTTCTGTATGTACATTGAAATACATAATCATAAATCTTTGCAAAGTCAGCGGAGTAGAGGTCATGGCTAGCTGAAGTCAACGGCTGACTTGAGCAGAACTGTTTAATACAATTGGTGACCAGAGCCACAGCAATCAGTGGTGAGTGGAGGAGTTAGGAGATTCAGTAACTGTACGTGACATAGTTGAGGGAGGAAGAAACAGAGTAAGTCTTGATCTTTGATCGGGCAAACAAGACAATTTTTTCAGAAATAAAATTTCATTCAAAAAGGAGAGACAAGAGAGTTCAAAATAGGAGAATCATGAATCCTACCAAGTCCTACAGCTATAAAAAATACAACAAAAAGAAGAAAAAAAAACTTCTCATCAACTTAGAAAGGAAAACCCGGACTCTTAGCGAGTCTTAAAACACACTTTAATTAACTCATGCGCTTCAACATAACTAAAGCATGTCTGTCATCAAGGTCACAGCATCTAAATAGAAATGAACAACTAATTATCTGAAGTAATGAACCTTTTAAGTCAGCAAAAACAGATCAACAACGAAGGGAAAAAATAAAATTTAGCTTTCGGTGTAACGCTCTTCTCTAGCTCTACAACCAATACCAAAATTCCATTCAGACAAAATCAAAGACCATTAATTCATTCCAATAAGCCAAAAAGCATTGCAAATGAGTACTTTAGTTATACTTTACCACAAATCAAACCTCTAAGCTCAAGTTTTCAAATCATGGGAGTTAGTACAGTAGCATATACTTATTTAAAAACAAAACACATGAAAAAAAAATCAAATTACTTTATGACATGATTGTTGAATGCTTATCTTACTTGTTCATCATGAGAAAATTTGCAGCTAGCTCCACGAGTACATTCTCCTCTTTGAAAAGCACGACAAACACCGCGCGCCTCCCTTTTCTGACGCGCTGTCTCTTCGTCTTCCTCCTCCTTCTTCTTATACTTATTAACGTGGTCCACCCTAATTACTCTCCCTAAAACCTGAGCTCCATTCAAATTATCTGAGACAATCTCAACAAAAAGAAATTCACCATTAGATTCATTAAAAAACTCATTAAAATAAAAAACATATTTTAGAATCACGTGACAGAAACCAACCCACAGCAAGAGTTGTGCTTCTTTGATCTTCATACGCAAGGAACGCAAAACCCTTTGATTTTCCAGTGCCTTTGTCTCTAACGAGATTAACATCAACAACCTCACCGTATCTAGGTTTAACAGGAATAATAATAATAATAATAATAATAATAATAACAATAAAATTGTTAATTAATGAAATGGAAGAGGAAAGAAGATTACTGAGCAAAAACAGCGAGAAGATCACCCTCGGTGAGATCGAAGGGAATGCCACCGACAAAAATGTAAGCGGAATCTTTGTATTTGGTGTGCCACGAAGCTTCTTCGCCGATGCCGAGTGCAGCTTCTCTGGAATTGATGTTCTGAATGCGCTTCACTAGGGTTAATGGGTTCATGTCTCTCTGCTCTACGCGAACTGTGCAAGCAATTAGCCCAGCAAAGAAAGAGGGAAATGCGATATGGCTAGGGCTATGCCAATGTGCAAACAAAAGCTTTTATCCAAAATAGAAAATCAATGACGCATGATCATGTTTTTATCCAAAATAGAAAATCAATTTCTTTTAAGTTTAGTTTAGTCTTTTCTAAAGTTTTACTTAACTTATTAATCTTTTTAATACTTTACATATTAAAGTTCTTTCATAAGTCATTAAGGTATGGGTAAATTTAACGATAAATATTTATAAGAAAAAAATAATATAAAAATAAATAATTTTAAATAGTTTAATTTATATTACTATAATTTTTATTTTACATTTTTTTATGAAATTATCTAAATTAAGTTTAAATCTTTTTATGAGACATATATTTAATATTAAAATTTTATAAATTTATTTAATACAACATTATAAATATATTATGTTTTGTAAACAATATTTTTTATAATATTATAATATTAATAAATCTTATGTAAGTCATTCTATCATATTTAATAAATGCTTTTTAATTGAAATATAATATTTTAAATGTTTAAATTTAATTTATTACTTAAATAGAGTGAGCGAAGGAAGTTAGATTTTAAAGTAGGTTTCAGCCGAACCTTTATTTGTAACTATAAACTGAAGTTGACCTATAAAAGATTAGAGTATGTTTGTTTTTAATTTTTAAAAGAGTTTTTAAAAAAAAACTAAAAATTATCTATAATTTTAGTTTTTAAAAAGAAAAAACTTTTTTAAAAATTAGAAACAAATATGCTCTAATATTTTACTTTTTAAATTTTGCATAAAATAACTTTAATTTTAAATTTTAATAATATTTATGTGTCCCGTGTGTTTTATTCATTTATTTTTATTCACAGGTGTTAGAGATAAATTACTGTTATGAAAATTTTATAATAGATTACATTTAAAAATTGGCCGTTGACGAACAGACATTAGTCATTAGATATGACGTAAAACACTGAAACTACTTTCCTCTTGGTGCCTTGACGCTAATGACCATATTTTCCAAAAAAAAATGTATAATTAAATGAGAAATGAGAAATGAAAAAAAAGTGCAATAAAACAACAGTGAAAAAATAAATTATAAAAAATATATAAGAATAAAATAACCCTTCAATATCATATATCTTTTCTACATATGCCCGTTAACAAATTTGCTGACCAAGATTTAAAAAAAGAAAAAAAAACTATTTTCGCATGCTTCTTTCTTATGCCTATAAACCATTGATCGGCACCAAGCCAGTTACTAATATTTATGTTACTTATGATTTGAATGTATATGTTTATGAACGCCTTCCACCATAGCGTCTTTTTCTCTGTTGAAATGAACTCAAGGCGTCTACAAACTCATCCTTCCCAAAATCTGGCCAAAGCTCTCGATTAAAGTAAAGTTCTGTGTATGCCAATTGCCATAACAAGAAGTTACTCACTCTAAGTTCACCACTAGTTCGTATTAGTAGATCAGGGTATGGAAACTCAGTGCAATTAGTTTCCAGTTCCTGTTCAATAATGCTTTCATTGATGTCTTCCAAATGAATAACCCCATCTTTTACTTTCTTGGCTACACTTTTACATGCTTGAACAACATCATATTTCCCACTGTAGCTCACTGCCACTATAAGTTGGAGTCCTGTATTATGCTTTGTTTTCTCTTCTACACTAGCTATCATTCTTAGTAGAGACTTGGGGAGCTTTGATGAATCGCCAATCACAGATATTCGAATCCCTTCCCTGTAACAAATGCAAGGATTACACAGTGTCAAAAAATGTTTATCCAATTCTCACTTCATTCATGGAAAAAATATTTTTTTTAACCTGTATAATTTACATGTAATATTTTTAAATAATTTCATAACTTAATACATTGTTATTATTAAATATCATAGTTTTTTAAAAAAAATATATTATGTATGAGTTTTTATTACATGCAATATTATATATAAACAAATCAAAAGAAAAATAATGAATAAATTTAAGTGTAATGACATTAGTATTTTACTTTAATAATTTATGTAATAAAAATAGGATTAAAATTCAGTAAAATTTAAATCTTAATTAAATAACAACATAAAAATGCCTATAATATTTCATTTAAACTTTGTCCATAATAAAATAAAAATAACAAGTTTAGGAAAATGTTCGATTTGACTTTTGGTCATAACAGTCAAAAGGTCAAGTGTCACCAATATATAATATCCTTGAATGAACATCTTTATCAGATGATTGCGTTTCTTGTTGGTTTAACATGATGTGATGCAGAGGAAAAACATACTCCATCTCTACTCTGTGTAATGTTTAGACGGCAAAGAAAAACTAGCAAGAAAACAAAATAGAACCCCCACTTGATCAATATAATTTCATTTTGTATAGTGACACCTGTCAAGCCTGTAACATAACTTAAACCTAAACCAGACGTACAAATAATAATAATAATAATATGGATAAGGAAAAAAAAAATTCTTTTAAAGATAAAATATATTGCACTTTAATTTATTTTAATATAAATAAAACTTTTAGTGATAGTGACTAATTATGAATGATATTTTAATTTAAGAACTTGACTACAGATTATTGATTTTATAACTTTATAAAAAAAAAATTAAAGTTTAACGTAAATAGTAAGGATTCAAAATTATGTACCCAAAGGTCCTAATAATTTCAGTGATAATAATTTTTAAGAATATTATTTATATTAAATAGAACTAATGTGTCATCTCTAAAGGAAGAGAATATAAATGTTCAAATAAAATAGAAGATTCTGTAATATAATCGAGAAAGCAAGGGAAAAAAAGAAATAACCGAGTAACTTATGTGCTTTATAAGCCACTAAAATTGAGCTAATGCAATGGTGAGGATTTTTATAATTTGTATGAGATCATAAGTCATTCTTGCATCGTAAACAAAAGCAATTTTAGTAACCATTCTTTTAACAAGAGAATCATGACTATTAAAATCAATTTGCACATTAATTTAGCATGTCTAGTAATTGTTTTTATGAAGCACTGGTAGAATAGATTCTGAAAGGAGTAAACATTTTAATTAATAAAATTAACAAAAGGTGTGAAATCTATATATATATATATATATATAATTTTTATCACACCTTTAAATATCATTCTTCTACACATTTTTCTAACGTCAATTATTTTAAAATTATTTTTATTAAAAAATAAAATCAATACACACCTGATAAAATCATGTTTAGACCCATAAAAATAGATGAAATTAAATTAAATTAATAATAATAAAATCATATTTTTAAATGTGTTTAAAACGATATAAAATGACTTATATTTCATTTTATTATGTTCATTGTTTCTCTTCTTCCTTCGTTGGATTTATACGTGAAATCAGATAATTCTTTTTCTAATTAAATTAATTAATAATATCAACAAAATTCATATATTTTTTTGTTTGTCAAGAAAACATAAATAACATAAAGATCTTTCATTTTATTAGAATTAGTATAATAAAATATATGCGAAATGAGATAAATTTTTCTTGTTTCAATATATATAATCAACAAAACTCTATATAACCTTTTTATTTATATGCTAAACAAACATAAATAACACAAAGAACCTTCATTTTATTAGAATTACACAGTCTTTAATATTTAATCATTTTATTAAACTAAGTAATTCCTATACATAAATATTAGAAACACGTTAAAAAAAAGACATAATTTGGTTTCAACTTTCATGATACTAGGATTATCTGCCACTGTATTTCATACACACTGAATGCAGCATGAAAGTAATTAAATTCTTTGGTACCTGATAAAAGCTTCAATCTCTGAATTTATGGCTCTTTCAAACAGCCGCATCAAGAAGTCAACCTCCACCTGCAGCATCACCACCACAAGTGAAACAAACCTCAGCAACAACACAACACCGTTCACTCTTCAAAATCAAAACACATCAATGAATAATGACCTTGGGCCGAACCCAGTTATCTGTGGAGAACGCGAAAACCGTCAGAACCTTAATCCCCCAATTGCAACACAGTCTCACCAACCTCCTCAACGATTGCACCCCCTCTTGGTGACCCGCCGACGGTAACAACCCTCTCAGCTTCGCCCACCTTCCATTCCCGTCCATAATCACCGCCACGTGCTTTGGCATCAGCTCCGGCACTAACTCTGCCGGAAGCGGCTCCGGCGACTCTCGAATTGCCACGTTCAGAGGAGCAGTGGCAGTGCCGCGTTTGGGGATGATGAGACGGTGTGTTTGGGAAGGGGAATAAGGATAATAATAATAATAATGGGAACAAAAAGAAGAATTAGGATTAGGCTTTGGACGAGGAACAAGAGTGTTGTGCAGATGAATAGGTAGCCTTAACGATAACATTTTAATTCGTGAATGGGGATACGGTTATCCCGGTTTCAAAATATAATTGTTTGTTTTGTGAGGTGTTGTTGCTGAGTGTGGCTTGGTTTATAAAGAGGACAGTTGTGTGCGGGTCGTTAACACTTGATAGCGTCGCTCCAAAACGCTGCCGTTCCGTACCACGATTGCTAACTGCAGCAACGAGTGGTCCACATTTACTTGGCTTCAATTTGGTGATGGGGGCTTGCTTTGTCTCTCCTTCCACAGCATTGTATCAATTACTTAGACTTTTCAACATACTAAGAAAATCAAATTTAGCTTTCTTTAAAAACATAACATGCATAAAAATTAATGTAACATGTTTTTAAAATATGTAAATATAAAATTGTTTCATTATAATATATTATTATTTATTATAAAATTTGACACAAATAATTAATGATTAACCACAGTTGTCTTTTTTAATGCAAATGTTTTCTATGTTTAAAAAAATCTTTTTCCTTTAAATTAGCACCCCATTTTTACCATAAAAACTTACGGAAGTTAGATGTAATTGATAGTTATAGACTTATAGTACAGATAGTCGAATTGATTAAAATCAAAATTTATACAAAAAATATTGAATATGTGTGAGAACTTTAAAATTTATGCATATAATGATAAGAACAAACGTAACTACATTTTATTTTATCAAAAACATTATTTGCGCCATTAAAGGAGTATTTTTTAAAAATATATTCATAGTATACTTTCAAAATATGTGTAATAAACAATATAAATAATAATATATTATATCATATACCATATTGAATTTTAATAGTTTAAATAATAAAACTTTTTTTTTCTTACAATTGAAAGTGATATCTTCGGTACACTCATGATTGGAAACCAACTTCCAACTTCACGCAATGAAGAGCCTCATAGATGGTGGTACATAGTTGGTGTAATTTTTATTTGATTTAAATGTTATTTTAATTTTTATATAAAACCTGTATTTTTAATTTAGTTTTATAATTTTTTTGTGTAAAATCGAGTTCTTGAATATCTTTTTTATATGATCCATGTTATTATCTTTTATTAGATTTAATCCCCTTATGGGCGGAATTGATTAAAATAAATTATTTTATAGTAATTAATAATAAAATTATTATAAAAATAATACTATCTGTAATTATATTTAAAACATCTTAAATTAATAGTTTAGTATATAAAATAGTTATTAATAGTTAATATAATAATCATAATTAAATATTTTTATTATTAATTTAATAAATAAATTTATATTATAATAAAAACTTTACTGTATTATAAATAAACATTTAATCATGCAGAATAATTGAATATTATATTGCAAATGAGGAGGGAAAAAGTATAAACAAATAAACAAAATAATAATCAAATTTGATATTCAATTTTGAAATTAAAGAATGGAGATAGAACCTTGTCATTAAAATAAACTCAAAAGAAATATAATAATCCATGTTAGCTTATAAAAAATAAGTTGGTAACTTTGAACTTATAAGTCAATTTTCATAGTCAATTTAACTTAAGCTTCTACGTGCAATTATTTATGATTGTTTTTTACAAGTTTTATTTTTGAGGTAAAACTCTAATTAAAATTAAGAGCAACATAAAAGATATTACATGTGAACTTTATTTTTAAATAATTTTTTTAATTGCTTAAGGTATAATACTAATTTATTTTTATAATTTGTCACGAATTAATATAACAAAATTTAATTTGTTTACATAATGAGGTTGATTGTAATTTTTATATATAAATTTTTTTATTTTAATTTTTACAATATAGTATATTTTTATATAAAGACAACATAAAAACGTGTTACATTAAAAAATTAAATTTAACAAATAAATTCAAAATAAAGACGCTATAAACGATAATAATAACTACTATTTTGAAAAAATTAATTAAAAAACTACTATATATATATATATATATATGTTTTTGTATAGATATCAAATTAAAAATGAATTTATAAAATACATTTTAATGAAATACATAATTTAAGTTAACGCATATAATACATTTAAAATATTTAATCATTTAAAATAAAATTATTTAAATTTTAAACTAAATAGATACTTAGTCATAACAAAGGTGAAGCATAGTTTGTTTAATGAAAAGCAACCAAAACATTGCACGACACGTAACATGTTCCACACGAGCCATGCAGTGGCCAGAAAAGGAAATCAAGGGGGCCCAGGGTGCTGTCACGTGCCATGCGCCCTGCTCCTCACCTAGCCCATTTATGAGTATAACTCCTTGATTTTAATCTGCTTTTCCCCTTGTTGTGTCCCCAAACTTAAGGTTTTTTAGTTTTTTTTTACTATTATTTAAAATTTCTTATGAATATTTCGTAAAAAAAATTATTTATTTAATTTTAAAAATTATTTATACAATTTATTAAAATATATATTAATTTGTAAATATTTTCATTACTAATAGCTTGCACTTAGCAGTGCCTGTTGTGTGTTATAAAGGTGAGTAAAAAAAATAAATCTAGTAAGTGGGAGGCAAGTCCCGTAAGGAGGTCACAAAACCACTGGGTGGATAGCGGATGCCACTGCCACCTGTAGCTCTTAGCTTCCTCTTTTAAATATAATTTTGTTTTTTTAATAAAAATATTTATATATTAAATATATAACACTTTAAATATTTTTATTTATTAATAATTTTTTAAAAATATTTAAACTCAAATTTATATTTTAAATATTATTTTTTCAATCACTACAAGACACGTGAGATATTTTTGTAGTATTTAGTTATTTTTTTAAAAATAAAGTGTATTTGGCCTTCAGTATGAACTAAATACAAGTAAAAAAAACATATAATGTAAGTAAGAACAATTCACTGTTTGGTAAAAAATGCTTTGATAATTAAATTAATTATTTTATAATTTTACTAATTTCAACTTTTAAGATTAAATTTAAGTCATTAATAATAAATAAGATTTTATTTTAAAAATTTAAATTACATTAAAAATGTAAAAGTTAAAAAAACTTATCATGATCAATTGCTTAAACTCAATTTGAATGACTAAAATTAATATAATTAAATTAATAAATAATATTTTATATGCATTTTCATTGTTTTTTAATTTATCCCAACTGGATAAAAATAAAGTGATAGCCCAAACTACGGATGACATGATTTTTTTTTTTAAATAATTTGGTGCAACGTGGATATGTATTGATGATTCATTATACATTAATCACGTTAATTATTTATCTATTACTTCCATTTTAATTTTATTAAATAGGTTTAAAAAATTAAATAACATATAATAATTTCTTTATATAATATATATTGATTATTCAATATACATTAATCAATATCAAATGAATTTAAACATCAAATTGTTATAATTTAATTAATAATTAAAAATTATTAATTTTTATCATTATTTTAATAAAAAATTAATGTCATAAAATTAAATATTAGTTATAATAAATTTTTTTATTAAAATAAAATATGTAATCTATAAAAATTATCACTAATCTTTAAATAAGTAAAATATTAACAAGTGTGAAAAATTAGCAGATAAATTCACGAAAATAGTTTGTTGTATAAATTTTTATAATAGATAAAAAAAGAAGAAGTAAGATTACATGTATTTATGTACTAGACAAATTATCAAGTATTGGCCACATGTGAAGCACGCACAATGTGTTCTTTGTAATGAACAAATTTTATTTATTTTTTAAATAAACATAGCCTTTAGGAGGAGGGTGGATGCTATACTACTTAATAATCACGTTAGACAAGTAATTTATCTATTTATATATTTTATAAATAATTTTTGAAACTATAGTTTTTTTTTTGTCAAAAAAATTGGTTTTTTTAATAACAATTATGAATAATTTTCTAACTAATTTAAGAATTCTTTTACTCATATAAATATGTGAAAATTTTATTTCGTTTTATTTTCATCCTTATGAATAAAGATAAAATTTTCAGTTTATTTTTTTCATCCTTCCTATATTTTTACTCTAATTCATCACTTTCCCTTTGTAGATGAGAGGGTTAAAATGTGGCTAGTTTATCCAGCATAGAAGAAATAAAGAAATTGGGAGAGGAGAAGTGAGGACATTTGTGTAATTGAATTAACGAGTGACGTGTGTTATTGAATACCAGCAAAACAAGTGGTGAAACCGTCCTTATTCTTCTTTCTGGTTTCTTCGTGCGTCTTTCTATTTCCCGCCTCCATTCTTCACCATCACCGCAAAGGAATTCTTTTTAATGGCACCCGTTACTCGTAGAACCTCTTTTCCCAAGGTTCTCATCGAGAGAGACTCTGACTCTGAACAGAGTTCATCCGAAGAAGAAGAAGAAGAGGAAGAAGAAGAAGAAGAAGAAGAAGATAGGGTTACTACTGCAAATGGAAATGGCAAGTCGCAGAAGGAGGAAGTGGGTTCCGACGCAAACAGGAAAGGGAAATCACCTATCACTATCACTCTCAAAAAAGTTTGCAAGGTTACTTCTTTTTAACTTATTTCTTACAAAGTTTCTTCTTTTCTTATCACTGTTGCAACTCCGTTACCGTGACGGTTTTTGGGTTGGTGTTCTAGGTGTGTAAGAAGCCTGGACATGAAGCGGGCTTCAAGGGTGCTACATATATTGATTGCCCAATGAAGCCTTGCTTTCTGTGTAAAATGCCTGGTAACTATTTCTCTCTTTACAACTGATTATTTTCTCTACACTATTATTTTTCTCTCCATTTTGAGTACGTTTCTAACTTTCAATAATTTGTTTACTTAGTTATATTTATACCATAAATTGAATTATAAAATTCATTGGAATAGGCTTAAATAAACTTCTTTTGTTATGTTTAGAAACTTAATAAAATAAGGTATAGATAACTTATGAGTCATAAATTATTTCTATAAGCTGTATTAAAGAACTTGCTAATGGGCAATCGGTTAAGCTCTTGAATTTATTGTTGTTTTGAATTGAAGGACATACCACTTTGACTTGCCCTCATCGTGTCACTACTGAGCATGGAGTTATTCCAGCACCTCGCAGAAAAACATGTAAACCTTTGGAGTATGTGTTCGAACGCCAGCTAAGGCCAGCCATTCCTACTGTATGCCTGAGTTTACTATATGTTTTTTTGTATTTTCTATTTCCAAGTTATTTATCGCAGAGCCTAGTATTAATGGGATTCTAGTTGTGATAATTTTTTTGTTTTTCTTTTCTATGCTAGATCAAACCTAAATATGTCATCCCAGAGCAAGTAAATTGTGCTGTCATTAGATATCATAGTAGACGGGTAACATGCTTGGAGTTCCACCCCACAAAGAATAACATTCTATTATCAGGAGATAAGGTTATACTGTAAATTTATGTTAGTTAGGATTAATTTTATGATTGCCTTCGTTTTTCTAGCCACTGATTTCTTCTTCTTTCTGCTTTGATCCTAAAAGAAAGGACAACTTGGAGTATGGGATTTTGGAAAAGTGCATGAGAGGGTAGTTTATGGGAATATACATTCTTGTATACTGAACAATATGAGGTAGGTTATTTTAATGAAATCATGGCCTTGTTGTAGCTGTTCCATTTTTTCCCTTCATCTTTGGATTTATTTTTATGCCCTAGCCTGAAGTCCAAATGTTAGGCTCTAAATGGTAAACTTTGTAGGTTTAATCCTACAAATGATTGTATGGTCTATTCTGCATCCTCAGATGGAACCATTAGTTGTACTGACTTGGAGACAGGAATATCATCCTCCCCAATGAACCTGAACCCTGGTGGATGGCAGGTAACACTTTTCTCTAAATTTTCTTCATATTTGATGAACTCTCTCTCTTTAATTGCTTGACTATTCGGTTATGCCCAAGGATTCAGGAGCACTATTTTGAATTGTGATATTTACATATTAGGACGCTCTACCTATTAAAAGAGATTCAACAATAAACATTAAAAGAAATTTAATGATAAATAATATCTTATAGATTTTGATTTTTTCCCAAGCTCAAGTGTTGTGTGATTCATGTTGCTAACATCACTTAGTGGGATAAGGCTTGATTCATGTTGTTGTTGGACACTTTACCTATTTTGCTGTTCTTCCTTGCTCAGTCCTCCATAACCAGTTTTGTTATGGTGTAAGATAGTAATTATTTTCATGATTATGGTGGTCTTATTTTTTTTAATCTTTTTTTTTTTGGAATGGGAGGCATGTGCTATGGTATTGTTTGTGAGAAGGAAGTGAGAGAGAAAGCCAATTTAACCTAGTTGAATTGGCTTTTAATCGGAATGATCTATAGTAGCATCATTATTTTGGCTTTGGCATATATTCTGGGAGATTACGTGGTGTCAACAACCAGAAAAATGTAAATGACGATTCACTGATGTTCCTGCAAAATTTTGTCTTATCTTTTTGCAGTAAAATTTATTTTTATATGCTTCTTTTGTTAGGGTCCAAACACTTGGAAAATGCTCTATGGCATGGATATTAACTGTGAGAAAGGTCTTGTCCTTGTTGCTGATAGCTTTGGTTTTCTTCACTTGTAAGTAACTTCTTTGGGTCCCCATCCCCCTGAAATTATTATTTTTGATGCAAACTGAAGGATACATGTTGGTTTCTCTTAAGTTATGAATGGTCTCATCAATCTATGATAACTTACCCGGATTTTTAGGCTTCACTGCTGATTTGTTACATTACACTGTTCTTAGTTGGCATGTCACTACCTGTATTAGTGTTTTTCTGTAAAAGAAAAAATTATTACTTAAGTGCTCCAAGAGCATGGTATCATCTTTCTATTGTCTTTCTAGGTGTGCAGATAGTTCTCAGTTAAAATTTATCCCTGAATCAATTTTGGCTGGCTTTAAATTTTGAACTTAAAACTTTCTTCTGATTCTCTCTTCATTGCATGACCATTTGTCAAGGTTTGTGATAAAGGTGCGATGTAATTGCTGCAGTGCACAACATCTGCTAGGATCTTGTTTAGGAGAGCACCACGTTTATCCTATTAATTTACTGTGTACATGAATGATTTGAAGGTGTTTGAGAACTTGAGATTTGCGGCCAGCTTGAGCTGACTCTATTCATTATAAAAGTATTAAGATATTTCATTGGAGACAAAAAATGAGAACTTTTATAATTATGGTTTTTTCTTGGTTTGGGAGTAAATTGTAGCCCTCTCATTTGTAGCTGTGCTTTTCATTTGTGAAACACATTAGTCCAGAAATATGCATAACCTGTGGCATTTGTAGGGTTGACATGCGCTCCAACCATAGGACTGGTGATGCAATTTTGATCCACAAAAAAGGTAGCAAAGTTGTTGGTCTACATTGTAATCCAATTCAACCAGACATACTTTTGTCTTGTGGAAATGACCATTTTGTGAGTTTTTTTTCTTTTATTCATGTATTGAATATTGAATATATAGTTAGTAATTTGAACATTTGTTACACACTGGATTTGGCCATTGAAATGTGTAATGGTTTCAAAATTCTAGGCTCGTATTTGGGATATCCGTCGATTAGAAGCTGGATCATCCCTTTATGACCTTGAGCATAAGCGTGTTGTTAACTCTGCATATTTCTCTCCTTTATCTGGAAACAAAATTCTCACTACATCACAAGACAATCGTCTTCGTATATGGGATTCTATCTTTGGTAATATGGACTCTCCCAGCCGTGAAATTGTACATAGTCATGATTTCAATCGGCATTTGACACCCTTTAAAGCTGAATGGGATCCAAAGGTGATTTTTTTGTTTTAAAATTTCTTCCAGTTGTTTATGATGTTTCTTTCCTTTCTTCTTTGGTCATTTTAGGAACTATATTATTTATGTAATTTCAGGATCCATCAGAGTCCCTTGCTGTTGTTGGTCGTTACATAAGTGAAAATTATAATGGAGCTGCCTTACATCCCATTGATTTTATAGATACCAGTACAGGGCAATTGGTTGCAGAAGTGATGGACCCAAACATCACAACCATCAGTCCAGTTAATAAGCTGCATCCACGTGATGATATCCTGGCATCTGGGAGTTCTAGGTTTGACTTCTCCTATTGATCCTAAAATACTGATAACGAAACTTTTGATTATTCTTCATTTTATCTGTTAGGAAAAACCTAATGATGAATTCATTTGGCTGGTGTAGTTTGACATGTCTATGGGCAAAATTCAAATCTTTAAGCCTTCTGTGATGGTGAAACCCTTACAGTAAAAATTAAAATTTACAAATGCTATTTAACTAGCTCTTTTAGAACCATCTATTTTTTCCTCCCAAGAGTGTGATATAAAGATGACACTGATGCATCGTATTAAACTGTGACATAGTTCACTCTACCAATGTTATAATGTTACATATGATTATCATCATGCCAGTTATCTTGTTAGATTCAGAACTAAACAACATTAATGGACTTAAAAAGCTCTAGTACCTTGGTGTCCAAAATCTGATTGGTTATTTGGTTCTTGGGCTTACCTGGCATTATTTTTCAGATCTCTGTTCATTTGGAAGCCCAAGGAAAAGTCGGAGCATGTCGAGGAGAAAGATGAAAGTAAAATTGTGCATTGTGGAAGAGCTGAGAAGAAGCGTGGTAAGAAGAATGGCGATGATAGCGGTGAATCTGACGATGAAAGATTCACGTCCAAGCTGAAGCAGCATAAGTCCAAAAAGTTTGAGTGGAAATTGTCTGGTTGCACTACTAAGGATAATCTGTGAATAATGAGCTCGGTCTTTGCGCAGTGTACTGAAGACGTTCTTTGTTCAATTTTTTTGAAGGCTTTTCCAAGCCAAGCTCCCTCCTTGTTTTGTTTTTTAGAAAATGGGATGGGTCCTTGATTTGATGTTTTTGTCTTGGAGCAGTGATGTTGTATCAGATACAATACACACTTGGCTGTGATATGCAACCATTCTCCTCGTGTAGTGCTATGTATTATATAAGAGAATGCACTGTAGCATTTTTTTTATACATAGTGATAGGTTTTGTTGGATTATTACTTTCTGTAAATTTATAGTCTCTCGAGCTTTAAATTGGCTTCCCATCTTCATGCTTTTGTCTTCGTTCATGCACAGACACAGAAACCTTAACAACAGAACCTAAGCAGGTATATACCTTAGCTCTAGTGGCGCTTTTGATTGGTGTTTTGTAAGGCGGAGCACTTGGGTTAATAAAGAATATTCTTTGCCTAATAAGTTTAATACAGACAATATTTGTGCATAATTGCTGATGCACAATTTCTGGGTGAGTTCGATAGACTTAGGAATGAGATTGTCGTGGAAAGGAAAATGGAGATCTTTTTTTAAAATTTTAAATGAAGTGGTTTAAACAATGTTTATAAAAATCAACTAAAAATTAGGACATTATTGTGTGTGTGTGTGTGTGTGAATATATATATTTTTTAAAAATTATTAAATTAAAAAATGTTTAAAATGGTTTAAGGCAGCACAGAAAACTGTTTGGGCCTGACCAAGCCCAGAAACCAAGCCTACTAAAAACCCTACCCCTAAATATATGAACAAACAACCTACAAAACAAAAGCATTCCCATTCCACTCCAGCGCAGTCACTCTCCCTCTCAGTCACTCATCAAGATGGCCGAACGTGGTGGCGGAGACCGTGGGGGTTTTGGCCGTGGCTTCGGCGGACGCGGTCGCGGTCGCGGTGACAGGGGTCGCGGTGGTCGCCGCAGAGCCTCAGGGCGCCGTGACGAAGAGGAGAAGTGGGTCCCAGTGACAAAGCTTGGTCGCCTCGTGAAAGAGGGAAAAATCCGAAGCCTGGAGCAGATCTACCTCCATTCTCTGCCAATCAAGGAACACCAAATCGTTGACACCTTGGTTGGCCCCTCCCTCAAAGACGAGGTCATGAAAATCATGCCGGTTCAGAAACAAACCCGGGCCGGTCAACGTACCCGGTTCAAGGCCTTCGTTGTCGTTGGTGACGGTAATGGCCACGTTGGTCTTGGTGTTAAGTGCAGCAAAGAAGTTGCCACCGCTATTCGCGGTGCCATCATCTTGGCTAAGCTCTCTGTTATTCCTGTTAGGAGAGGCTACTGGGGAAACAAGATCGGAAAGCCTCACACCGTTCCCTGCAAGGTTACCGGAAAGTGCGGTTCCGTCACCGTCCGCATGGTTCCTGCTCCTCGTGGTTCTGGAATTGTCGCTGCTAGGGTTCCTAAGAAGGTTTTGCAGTTTGCTGGAATTGAAGATGTCTTTACTTCCTCCAGAGGATCTACCAAGACTCTTGGAAATTTCGTCAAGGTCTCGCTCTCTAATTCTCGTTTTTATTTTGGTTATGATTTCTGGTTGATTATTAAATGAATATAATGTTTGTGTGATGTTGAATTTTTTCTTGTATGGACATTGTGTACTTGATGTTAGTGTTTTGCTTCGTTTTTTGGTTACTAATTTTTCTACATTTTTTTAAGTTTCTTATTACTCGTGAGTTTAAATCATGATCAATTCTAAAGCATCCTGCTCTATTTTTTCATTTTATTTTTATGCTGCCATATTTGTTTATATCTTGATAACTTGAAATCTTTTACCAATGTTTTATAGTATTGGATGTTGATTTCTATATTTGATTGAACTATTCATTGCAGTGGTGCACAATTTTACGTTTTTTACCTTGGGTTATGTGGCACAGCAAAATGGTTTTTCTTGTACATTAAAGTTTATTTTTGATTTCATGATTTATTATGCTGCTTGGGGTTGTTAATGACGTAATACAAGCCCCATTTCAAATTTAATGTATTTGTTATTATTTGTATCCTGATTAACATTAGTTGTGTGTTATTTTTGTTCCCTGACAGTGTAAATTAATTGAATTGCATTAATAATAAGTAATACATTTTGAAATAGTTGTATGTGCAATTTGTTAGCTATTCACGATTTATTTGTGTCCATAATTTATGCATTTCTTTTTACAGGCTACTTTTGAGTGTCTTCTGAAAACTTACGGTTTTCTGACCCCTGATTTCTGGAGGGAGACTCGCTTCTCCAAATCTCCATTCCAAGAGTACACCGATTTGTTGGCAAAGCCAACAGGAAAGGCTTTGATCCTGGAGGAGGAAAGGGTGGAGGCTTAAGCATGCTAGGAACCAGTAATTTTATGTTTTTATGCTTTTGTTATTTCCTTTTCTATTGACGGACGCAGTATATTTTCATGTACTTAGTTTTTCAAGTTTTGTCGATTGGATATTTACTGAGTTTTGAAATCCCAAATTTTCGACCTGATTCATCTTCTTGTTGTACCTAAATTATATGAAAAGTTTACATTAAAATTGTTTAACACTTTGAAATTCGTAAATTACCGTAGATGAATTTTATTGTCACTTTAACTCCTGATGATAACCGCAGCCGTTTCACCTTGGCTTTTAAATTGAGTTGCGTGGTGAATCTATATGCCTACGTTCCATGTGATGTAGCTTAGTGTGTTTTGCGCTCAGAACTGGCGCTAAATTTTCAGCATATTTTTTCAGTTGTACATTTGTCACTCGTAATTGTATGCGGTGGGAAAATCAAGTGTTCATAGTCATACGCTGCAGTAATATATATTTTGGCGTCTTTTACTTTGGATCAGTTTCGATAAGTTTTCTAATTAGCACTTCTTGTAAGGGAAAAATTTGGGCCATAAAATGAACTAAACTTATCTCCCGAGTTCTGATAAGAGTAAGAGCAGGGAGATAAAATGAGAATTTCTATGAATGGTGAAAGTATTATTTATGGGGAAATTTATTTAAATCGAACCTTGTCTACTGATTGGCAATGGTGTTTGCTTGACATGGAAATTGAGTCATCGTTTCCCAAGTTAGGGAGTTAGACTAGGTACATTGTGCTGTGGTGTGAGGTAAGTAGTCACGTCGTAAATATTGGAAAGAAACTTGTTTATACCCCTCGTGATACCTGCTCCGGCTCTTTTTTGTTTGTATGGGAAAGAAAAGAAGAAAATAACAAAATGTTAATTTTAGCAAAATTACAAAGGTATGGAAAATTTTCAAATGGCAAAAATCGTCTTTGACCAAAATTTGCTATTAGGACTTTTTCAATATTTTATTATTATTTTAAAAATTGTCATTGACTAGTTTTGATTTTTTAATATTTTTATTTTTATCTTTGAAGTTTTGTACCTATACTAAATGGCAAATTTTAAATTTCATATTTCTATAATTTTTCAAAAACATCATATTCTAATAACTATTATTTCTAAATTCCATGTATGGAAAAATAATCCACCTGCTCCTCCAAAGGTAATCAAACTAATTGGTAACGGTACAAGTCACTGTTTTAGGTTGTTGTGCAAGGCAAACTACGATGCTTTGCCAATCCAAAGTTGTGGCCCCTTTATACTTTAAAACATGGTGGGAAGGACCCTCCATGTGAGTAAGTCTAGAGCACACAACTCATGAAAATATAAGTTGTCTTAACCACACAACCGCTAATTTCCAATAACTACCACAAATGACCATTTAATAGAGCAAAACAAAGGATAAAATATGCCTTAAATCCTCAAACTTTGCAAACAGTTCGTAAGTTCACAGACTCTGGAACTTTACTTGAGGAATTTAATGCTTCTCTTGCAAGATTCTCCTTGTCCTCAGCATCTACAGCCACAGCAGCTCTCTCCAGCGCCTCCACAGCTAAGAAGAATTTGTAATCAGACTCCTTATAGAAGCTTGGACAACCATCTCGTAGTCTCCTACTGATGTCATCCACAGTTCCCCTGCCATCAGGACCATGGTGCATTAGCATTGATAGTCGGAGACCGTTGAACCAAACAAAATATTTATCAAACCAACCGCACCAAATGGAAAATTATCACTACTCTCGAATTTAAATCATATAACAAACAAAATGACCATGGAAATATTAGCACTGCATCACTTTTCTGATAATCAAATATAGCTCAAATTAAACTAGTACTCATTTCTCTCCACAAACAAAGAAGGAATAACATGCTCATACCCAGACCTCAAATACTGCCCCTTTACCTTCTTGAACTTTTCTCTCCTCTCCTGTCAAAATCATATCTTACTTTTGACTCTCTTCGATCGCTATCATTTATATATGATTTGTTATCTTGTTTCCTATCATAATCTTCTCTTGACCTTGGTGCAAATTCATCTTCGGGGTGCTTTCGCGATCTCCTGTCTTCCCTGTTACTATGAGGTTCTCTTGATTTCCTTCCAAAATCATCATCATCCTGCCTCCAGGGTCTTTGATCATCCCTTAATAGTTATATCAGAACCTCTGGACTTGTGTTCAAACTCAGTATCATCTGGCTTTATTGATCTCTTGCCTTCCCCTCTGTTATGATCTTTTGGCTCAGGTTCCATACCTTTATAATCATTCCTTCTTGGTCTTTTTTCTTCCCTCCTATATCGTTCTTCTCTTGACCTGTGTTCAAATTTGTCATCTTCATGCCTTTTTGATCTCTTTTCTTCTCTTCTACTGTTATTTTCTCTTCCCTCACATCTATCATCATCATCATGCTGCCGCAATGTCTTCTCTCTTCTATCACTTCTCTTTGGTTGGCTGTCTAATCCAACGTCATGCCCATGGGCTCTAGAATGTGAATCGCTCTCCATTGTTTCTGGAAAATGATTTGATGGGTTGCTGCCATATTTTCTCTCTTTTTTGGGACCCTCATATTTGTCATGACCCCATTTTGAACTGTCTTCCTCTTGACCCCAACCTGTATTTGCAGCTCTCTGGATAAAGACAACAAAGACAGTCAAGAACTCAAAGTCAAAACATACAAAAGGATAGCTGGATAAACCATCTGCATTTAAGTTTTCATTCTTAAATTCAGCACATTTTATAACATCAACAACTTCAAAAGTTCAACTATATGCAAAACACGTGAGGAGAAACTATACAAAGAATAGAACATAGATGATAAAGCAGCAGCAAACAAGTATGCATAAATTTTGCTCCTCTTCCCTCAGATATAGTTAACTTACAATGCCCTCCCCTCTAACTTCATTAATTACATTTCCCTCCTCTGACAGATGAATATGGGCTACACTCAAGTCCATTTTAATATAAACAAACCTCTTATACGTGATGAACAACTATAAATGACCCACTCAAGGAGAGATTTCCTTTCTCTGCAACTTGCGTCACCAGCAACTAATTTCATTTAAAAAGGAGAGACAAGAGAGTTCAAAATAGGAGAATCATGAATCCTACCAAGTCCTACGGCTATAAAAAATACAAGAAGAAGAAAAATAAAATAAAATTCTCATCAACTTAGAAAGGAAAACCTGGACTCTCAACGAGTCTTAAAACACACTTTAATTAACCCATGAGCTTCAACATAACTAAAGCATGTTTGTCATCAAGGTCACAACATCTAAATAGAAATGAACAACTGATTATCTGAAGTAATGAACTTTTTATGTCAGCAAAAACAGATCAACAACGAAGGGAAAAAATAAAATTTAGCTTTCGGTGTAACGCTCTTCTCTAGCTCTACAACCAATACCAAAATTCCATTCAGACAATATCAAAGACCATTAATTCATTCCAATAAGCCAAAAAGCATTGCAAATGAGTATTTTAATTATACTTAACAACAAATCAAACCTCAACGCTCAAGTTTTCAAATCATGGGAGTTAGTACAGTAGCATATACTTATTTAAAAACAAAACACATGAAAAAAACAAAATCAAATTACTTTATGACATGAAAAAAACAAAATGCTTATCTTACTTGTTCATCATGAGAAAATTTGCAGCTAGCTCCACGAGTACATTCACCTCTTTGAAAAGCACGACAAACACCACGCGCCTCCCTTTTCTGACGCGCTGTCTCTTCGTCTTCCTCCTCCTTCTTCTTATACTTATTAACGTGGTCCATCCTAATCACTCTCCCTAAAACCTGAGCTCCATTCAAATTATCTGAGACACATCTCAACAAAAAGAAATTCACCATTAGATTCATTAAAAAAAACTCATTAAAATAAAAAAACATATTTTAGAATCACGTGACAGAAACTAACCCACAGCAAGAGTTGTGCTTCTTTGATCTTCATACGCAAGGAACGCAAAACCCTTTGATTTTCCAGTGCCTTTGTCTCTAACAAGATTAACATCAACAACCTCACCGTATCTAGGTTTAACAGGAATAATCAATAATAATAATAATAATAATAATAATAAAATTGTTAATTAATGAAATGGAAGAGGAAAGAAGATACTGAGCAAAAACAGCGAGAAGATCACCCTCGGTGAGATCGAAGGGAATGCCACCAACAAAAATGTAAGCCGAATCTTTGTATTTGGTGTGCCACGAAGCTTCTTCACCGATGCCGAGTGCAGCTTCTCTGGAATTGATGTTAGAGATAAATTACTGTTATGAAAATTTTATAATAGATTACATTTAAAAATTGGTCGTCGACGAACAGACATTAGTCATTAAATTACTGTTATTCACAACCAGTAAATTGGATATTTCATAATTTATTATGTGAGTTATTATAGGTCAAGCCTGTGCAATTCTGCATGTGAAAATAGAATATATTTAAGTAAAAAATAAGCTATTTTAATTGGGACAATAATCAGTATAATATTACATTATGAGATGTAAAATATTAATATTTTCTTACTTAATACAAAAATCTAATACATAATATATATATATATATATATATATATATATATATATATATTATGTAACAATCTATTAATCAATGCATAAAAAACATACACATTACAATTCTAAACTGTTTTAGAGCACATCCCCTTATCACTCCACAACATGCATATTCTACAAACTCCATAAACACAAATAATTCTACAACACACAATAATCAAGTTCAGATAAGGACATCGACGCCCTTTTCTCAGTCATACAATATTCAATCATACAACTCTATCTTATAAATTTTAAGTCTCTAAAATACATAAAAAATTAAAAAACTAAACCGATTAAAAGTTAAAGTATCGTACTAGGAACACAATGATATAAATTATCTTTTAAATAGATGCTCCAATCACTTGCAAAGGCAAAAAAATTGAAGCTCCTAGAGAGAGAGGGAGAGAGGTGAGAGAGAGAAGGGGAAGGGGAAGGCGTGGTTTTATGGGTTTCAAACATTACAGACGAAAAAATTTATCTGTAAATAGTTTAATGAAACGGTGCATTTTAAAGGTTCATTTACAGATAGATTTTTCTGTCTATAAATTTGTCAAGTCTAGTTACAGACGAAAAAATTCGTCTGTAAATTGACAGATGAAAAGTCGGTTAAAAAGGGCAATATTTACAGACAGATTTTTCTGTCTGTAACTTCCGCTCCAAATTTCCCTCCTATTTTCAAATTACAGACAAAAAAATATATTTGTAATTTCTGTCTATATTGTTTCGCGCCAAATGACATGCTAACTACAAACGAATAAAAATCCGTCTGTATTACAGATGAATTTACAGACGGATTATTCAGAAAAAAAAATCGACAAATCTGTCTGTAAAATCCGTTTGTAAATAGCGCTTTTCTAGTAGTGTTTGGAAATGATGAGATGGTGTGTTTGAGAACGGGAACAAGGATAATAATAATAATAATGGGAACAAAAAGAAGAATTAGGATTAAGCTTTGGACGAGGAATAAGAGTGTTGTCGAGATGAATAGAGAGCCTTAACGAGAACAATTTAATTCGTGAATGGGGATACGGTTATCCCGGTTTCAAAATATAATAGTTTGTTTTGTGAGGTGTTGTTGCTGAGTGTGCTTGCTTTATAAAGAGGACAGTTGTGTGCGGGTTGTTAATGTTAGTCTTACATCATGTATAGCAAAAGTCAAAAATTGCTGCATGTTTTGTCAAAAACTTCTGCATGCCTTTCGGTGGCATTTATTGCTAGGCAAAGAAAGGCTGAAGCTTTGCCTATAAATAGCAAGTTTCCTTCGTTCATTTTGTGCATCCAACACCATCGAGTGTAATCCCACTAGAAGCAATACCTAGTATATAGAGAGAAAAATACAGAGAGATAAAATAGTATTCTCCTGTGAGGTGCTCTTAGTAAGTGAGTTTTTTTTCTTCTTATTTTTCAAGAGAGAGTGTCATTATTCTCTCCTTGTAAATTAGAGAGAAAGTGTAATATTTCTTTCACTTAGTAAAAAATATTTCCCTGGTCTTGCCCGTGGTTTTTCCCTTATCTGTTGAGGGTTTTCCACGTAAAATTATTGAGCTTCAGTTCCTCTTTTCTCATCTCTATTTTAGCTGTGTGATATTACTCAGTTACTCTGGTACCTAATAGTGGTATCAGAGCTGATGGTTCAGTAGGATATTCTTAGTATGCTCTGTGATTGCAGCTTAGTCTGATCTTCCACATCAGAAAAGATTAATTCTTTGTTGTTGGAGAATCATCCACTGGTTGTTGACGCTACGGTACTATTCATGGTTATTATTCACGGTGTGGTTATATACTTTTGCAGTGATTGTTAACGTATACTGGAATTATTCTGGTGCGCAGTAAAAATATACAATACTGTTCACATATATTGTACTATTTACGGTGAAATTGTGTAAACCGGTTTAGTTAAAAAAAATAGCGGCAAAATTTGAGATTGAGAAATTCAGTGGGAGTAACTTCTCCCTGTGGAAATTAAAGATAAAGGCAATTTTGAGAAAGGAAAATTGTTCGGCAGCAATTGAAGGTAGATCCACCGACATTACCGATAAAAAGTGGAAAGAAATGGATAGCAACGCTGTTTCTACCTTGCACTTAGCAATGACAGATTCAGTTTTGTCAAGCATTGCAGAAAATGATACTGCAAAGGAGATCTGGGATACCCTCATCAAACTGTATGAGGTGAAATCACTTCACAATAGAATATTTTTGAAAAGGAGGTTGTATACTCTTCGGATGAGTGAGTCCACATCAGTAACGGACCACATCAACAATTTGAATACGTTGTTTGCTCAGCTTACAGCGTCAGATTTCATAATACCAGAACATGAGGGTGCCGAACTTTTGCTTCAGAGCTTGCCAGATTCATATGATCAACTCATCATCAATATAACAAATAATAATATTGTTGGTCGCTTGCACTTTGATGATGTTGTCGGAGTCATTCTTGAAGAAGAATCTAGACGCAAAAATAAAGAAGATAGTAAAGAAAGTTCAAAGCAAGTGGAAGCATTGACGATGACGAGGGGAAGATCAACGGAGCGTGGCCCCAGTGGGAGCCAGAACCATGGTAGATCAAAGTCTCGAAGACGGAAGAACTTTAAATACTACAATTGTGGCATGAAGGGGCACTTGAAGAAAGATTGTTGGTATAACAAGAAAAATCCAGAGAAGTCTCCTGGAGCAAGTATATCTCAAGGGTGTGTTGCTAGTACCTCTGATGATGGAGAAATCCTGTATAGCGAAGCAACAATCAGTTCTAATGGAGGGAGACAACTCACTGATGTTTGGATAATGGATTCAGGAGCGACATGGCATAAGACTCCACAACGAGACTGGTTTTGCACTTATGAGCCTATCTCGGAAGGATCTGTGTACATGTGAAATGATAATGCCTTAGAAATTGCTAGAGTTGGTACCGTCAAATTGAAAATGTATGATGGTACTGTTCGCACAATTCAGGGAGTACGCCATATGAAGGGATTGAAGAAAAATCTATTGTCTATAGGGCAATTAGATGACCTCGGTTGTAAGACCCATATTGAAGGTGGGATCTTGAAAGTGGTGAAAGGTGCTTTAGTAGTGATGAAAGCAGAGAAGATTACTGCTAATCTATACATGCTTCTAGGAGATACATTGCAGACGGCAGATGCATTAGTTGCTTCAACTAGTCAAAAAGATATTATGATAATGTGGCATCATAAATTGGGCCATATGTCAGAACGTGGCTTGAAGATTGTAGACTACAATCTTCTTCACGAGCTCAAATCGGTAAATTTACCTTTTTGTGAGCATTGTGTGACTAGTAAGCAGCATATATTGAAATTTAATAAGTCTACTACTAGAAGCAAACATATATTAGACTTGATTCATTATGATGTCTGGGAGTCACCAGAAATGTCCCTGGGAGGAGCAAAATATTTTGTATCTTTTATTGATGATCATTCCAGAAGATTATGGGTGTACCCAATCAAGAAGAAGTCTGATGTATTTCCAGTATTCAAGGAGTTCAAAGCACAAGTGGAGCTTGAAACTGGTAAGAAAATCAAGTGCTTGAGGACAGACAATGGAGGAGAATATACAAATGGTGAATCTATTGCATTTTGCAAGTAAGAGGGTATTCAGAGGCAATTTACAGTGCCATATACGCCTCAGCAGAATGATGTAGTAGAGCGGATGAACATAACTCTCCTGGAAAGGACAAGAGCTATGTTGAAGACTGCAGGTCTAGGCAAGTCTTTATGGGCAGAAGCAATCAAAACTGTTTGTTACTTGATAAATAGGTCACCATCAACTGCTATTGGTCTTAAGATGCCAATAGAGTTGTGGAGAGGAAAGCCAGCAGATTACTCTTATCTACATGTATTTGGTTATCCTGTATATGTTATGTACAACACCCAGGAAAGAACAAAGCTAGATCCAAATTCCAGAAAATGTATATTCTTGGGTTATGCTGATGGTGTTAAGGGGTATTGCCTGTGGGATCCCACTACCCGCAAGGTTATTGTCAGCAGAGATGTAATTTTTGCAGATAATGAACTGCAAGGTGAGTAGAAAAATGATAGCACTTCTAAAGAAGCTACTACTGTTCAGATAGATAGAAAGTTTGGAGAAGATGATTTTTCTGAAGCAGAACCAGAGCACGAAGAACAAGAACCAAATGAGACCAATGATGCAGAAGCTCGACGATTAACAAGTCAGATAAGAAAACCATCTTGGCACTCAGACTATGTGATGACAAGCCACGATGCATATTGTCTTCTAACAGAAGAAGGAGAACCGTCAACCTTTCAAGAGGCTGTGAGCAGTTCAGATGCTTCTCTGTGGATGACAGCAATGCAGGAAGAAATGGAAGCCTTACATAGAAACAAGACATGGAAACTTGTAACACTTCCAGAAGGTCGAAAAGCTATTAGAAACAAATGGGTTTACTAGATCAAACGAGATGGCAATGATCAAGTGGAGAGGTATCATGCTAGACTGGTGGTCAAAGGATATGCTCAGAAAGAAGGCATTGATTTCAATGAGATTTTCTCTCCAGTGGTTAGACTTACCACTATCAGAGTAGTCCTAGCTATGTGTGGTACATTTGATTTACATATTGAACAGTTAGATGTAAAGACTGCTTTTCTTCATGGAGAACTTGAAGATGAAATATATATGCTCCAACCAGAAGGCTTTAAAGAACAAGGAAAAGAAAACTTGGTTTG